CAGGTGCCATCTGTGGGCCGCCACTGTTGTCCTCTGCACACAGGGCTTTCTCATGCTTGTTTCTCGCTGTTGGGATGGGAGAACACGTGAGAGCCTGGCCCGGTCAGTGCAGGGCTGTTGTGGGCTCTGCTGTGGTCTAGCAAGCTCCCTGTCCTGCTGGGAGGGGGTGGGAGAGAGCTGGGGCCTTCTTTCAGAGCTCTTGGGGAAGAAGTCTGTGTGGGAAAAAGAGGTTGAGGTAAGGCTGATTGAAGAGTTTGGGGTTTTCTCTGAATTTGGATGATCTTTGCTGCTTAATTAGCTCCCTGAGGCCATGGAAAGCTGGAGGCGGCTCTGGGGAGGGGATTTGTCTTATCCGGGTCAGCTCCCTTTCTAAGGAGCTAAGGCCCTGCCAGGGATGCTGTCAGAAGCAGAAAGCCACTGTGTGTTTTTTTTGTTTGTTTTTTATAAATCTTGTTTTGCCCCTCCTCCCCCTTTTTATTGAAAGTGGTAACTTGTTTATGCAAAGTAATCTGAGTTTTGCGTTCAGTCTTTGTCACAGGTGAGCCAGAGCCTGGCTGTCCTGTCCCCTCCATGCTTCTCTGTAGGCCCTTGCTCCTTCCTTCCTCCTCTCCTGGTCTGTTTCTTTTTTAGTATTTTAAAAAAAAGTTTTTGATTTATTTGAATGGCAGAGACAGACAGACAGACACAGAGCTCTTCCATCTGCTGTTTTACTCCCTAAATGCCTGCACCAGATGGGGCTGGGCCAGGTCAACTCAGTCCAGGTTGCCCACGTGGGTGGCGGGAGCCAGCATCCTTGAGCCATCACCTGCTGCCTCCCAGGTGCGCGTTAGCAGGAACCTGGAGTTGGAAGTGGAGCTTGGCACTTGAACCCTGGTGCTCAGATGTGGGTGTCCCAAGTGGTGTCTCAGCCACTGCACCTTCTCTTCCATTTCCCTTGCCCACCCCACCACCACCCCAACCCATCTTCGGCCCTCTCTTCTTCCATGTACCCCTTCTTGTGTCTTGCCTTAGGGAATGCAACTTCTTTTAATATTAGCCTCAAGCAAACAGAATGAAGCTTCCTGGACATAGAGGGACACCTGGAGAGCTGCTGTGCACCTTGTCGCCCAGGCAGGCTGGTGCCAGGTCCACGTCGTCGGTGCCCGACATCCCTGTGTTGGTAGTGATGGGGACAGGGACAAGGACTGCGTCCCTTTTACTCACCACTCAGTGCAGTATTCTGTGTGTTGATAGAGTACACGAATGAGGTATTATGTGCAGACCTCTTAAGAGGACCACCAGATGCACAGTAGTTAAACTTCACAGTGTGTGCTCTTGAAAGAAAACCCAGGGGCCAGCGCCGCGGCTCACTAGGCTAATCCTCCACCTTGCGGCGCCGGCACACCGGGTTCTAGTCCTGATCGGGGCGCCGGATTCTGTCCCGGTTGCCCCTCTTCCAGGCCAGCTCTCTTCTGTGGCCCGGGAGTGCAGTGGAGGATGGCCCAAGTGCTTGGGCCCTGCACCCCATGGGAGACCAGGAGAAGCACCTGGCTCCTGGCTTTGGATCAGCGCGATGCGCTGGCCGCAGCGCACTGGCCGTGGCAGCCATTGGAGGGTGAACCAACGGCAAAAGGAAGACCTTTCTCTCTGTCTCTCTCTCTCACTGTCCACTCTGCCTATCAAAAAAAGAAAAGAAAAGAAAAGAAAACCCAGGAGGCTTGGAATAGTGATTATTTTGGGGGCAGAAAATAATCAGAGACGAACACATTTCTCTGTTTTTCTTAAGCCCCGGTTGTTAATTTTTACAGAAAGATTGGTTTCCCATCCGCGTGGTTGCAGTGGCGGAGCAGGAGTGGTTGTCACACCTCAGCGTCCCGTGGGCCTCTTCAGGGAGCCTCTCTGCTCAGGGCCTGGTGGTGGTCTGTGCTTCCTGCAGCACGCAGCCTGGCCCCTGGCTGCAGGGGCTTCTCCCAGCATCACCCCTCTGACAGTGAAGGATCAGAAAGAGACACAGGGCCTGGATGGGGGCTTCAGGAAGTGGAGACGGGCTATCATTGGACAGCCTTTGAGGGTTCTGCTGGGGTGGGTGTGGGGAGCCAGGAGCAGGGTAATCTCCCAGGCTGGAGAGGGGAATTGGAAAGAGGCAATGGCAATGGAAGTGAGAGGGTTGAGGGGACAACACAGGAAATGGGGGGTCAGGGGAGACTGTTAAATGCAGGGCTAGTCAGAGGGGCGGGACAGTCTGAACTGGAGGAGGAACACGTGGAGGGCCATGTAGGGGTGCAGGTGGAGAGGTGAAGGAGCCCCAGAGGACTTAGAAAGCCAGGCCCAGGGGCCGGCGCTGTGGTGCCGTAGGTTAATCCTCCACTTGCAGTGCCGGCATCCCATATGAGCACCAGTTCTAGCTCCTCTTCCAATCCTGCTCTCTGATTATGGCCTGAGAAAGCAGTAGATGGCCCAAGTGCTTAGCCCCCTGACCCACATGGGAGACCCGGAAGAAGCTCCTGGCTCCTGGCTTCAGGTTGGCTCAGCTCTGGCTGTTGTGGCCGTTTTGGAAGTGAACCAGCGGATGCCGTCTCTCCCTCTCACTGTCTGTAACTGAACCTCTCAAACAAATAAATGAAATCTTAAAAAAAGAAGAAAAGAAAAGAAAAAGCAAGCCAGGCCCAGAAACATGGAGTGTGCTCCAGGGCAAATGGGAGTCAGCAGGCTCTGCAGGGAGGGTCTGCTGGTTGCTGTGCAGACAGGTGGGAGAAGATGCCGGGGACTGGCTGCTGGGGACAGAGTGTAGGTGCCAGCAGAGGTCAGGGCTTGAGAACGGGTTGGGGCAGGGAGCGCCTCCTGGCCTGCCGGCTTGGGCAGCATGCTCTGGAGTTGGGTCCCCGGCTTCTCCTTGCCAGGCCTTCTCAGTAACCTGCAGGGCCCCCAGGACCTGCGGCCCCTGTGGAGAAGCCCCTTGGGCCATTCCTTGCCTCCTCTCCCACCCCCTGGATCTGCACAGCCTCCCAGGCTGCTGTTCCTGGGTGGGAGGGAGAAGCTGGAGCTGACAGCGGGCGAGGGAGGGAAGCTGCCGCATTATGTAAGTTTGACAAGAGGCAGCCTGCGTGCCGTGTGACTGGAAAGCAGATGGCAGGCACAGCTAAGGCGTGCACCTGGGGAGGAGGGTTCCCTGGTGCTGCCCCCATGGTAGCCATTCGTGCCCACCCTTCCTCGGGCTGGTGCTCGTCTGCATCATGTCGGGAGCTGGGGTCAGCACTGCGGTGTCGGTGGTAGGACGAGGTGACTTGCAGCAGGCTGGGCATCGCGCCGGGGCCAGGGCTGCATTCCGGCCCCCTGTCTCTTATTCTGAAACAAGGCCTAGCAGATCACATCTAAACAGACAACTGGGAACGTTTGGCGTGGTCAGGGGCTCAGGGCATTGAGGTTCAGCTTGGGGATGAGAGGCTGTGGTGCCTAGAGGCAGGTGGCTGCCATCCTTGCCAGGCCCAGCAGGTGTGTTGCAGGCCCCGCTCTTCCACCCTCAACACCCGACCTCTAGGGCTGTGTCCCAGGCTTGGCTTGTGGGTACTTCCGGATGGGGACGAGTGCCTCGGACAAGCAGCTGCCCCCTCTTTCCTTAGGTCCCTGGGAAGCCACACGAGCCGCTGTCTGTCCGGGTCATTGATTAATGTCCTTCTGTCACATTAAAGCTAGGCAGGATAACCTTGGGGACTTGGTCAGTTTGTTCCCTGCTGTCTCCTGCAGGAAAGGGGAGGAGCCAGATGCCTTGGGAGGCTCTGAGGGCCTTGGGGCTGCAGGGGGACTAGGAAGGGTCTTGAATCCTGGGCTCCTCATTGGGTGTCCCCGGGAGGCCGTGGCGAGGGATGGTGGCTCAGGCTCTGGAAGTCTGCCTCAGTGGCTCTGTGTGTGTATGTGTGTGTGTGTGTGTGTGCGTGGGGGGGGCATGTGGCCATCACTTACCCGGGCCTCATGGCACTGAGGGTGGATGGAGGGAGGCGGAGCCGAGGGGACTTTCTGGGATACCCGAGGGAGTTGCAGGGTTGTTTTGTTTTATTTTGTTTTTCAATTTTTCCTGGAAAGATACTTCAGTAGTCTTGTTAGATTCAATTTAAGAATAAGTAGCATCTGTATGAAAACGTCCAAAGGAAGCAGTGGGATGTTAGTGGTGGCCCTGGTGAGCAGCAAGGACGGAGGCTTGGATGTGTCTGATTTCCCAGTGTCCTACGGGGTCTGTCCTGTGCGGGCTGTGCTGTCTGCGTCGAGGGTTTCACCCCTGGACTTGCCTGCCCGTGAGTGAGTCTACTACTTACCAATGCTGCCCACTGCGCCCTGGCCCTTCACCAGGTGCCCTGCCTGTGGGCAACGGTAATGGCCCTGGCTCGTCCACTTTGCAGGGCAGTTGTGTGAATCAGAGGGGACAGTGGGAGGAGAAACAGGTGGCAGGTGGCCTCTCTGCAGGCGGGGGCCCTGTGGCTGGTATGTGTGACGGCCAGTGGGCATAAGGGCTGGCTGGTGAGTGAGTGCAGGGAGGGGCTGGGCCTGGTGCTGGGGTGCTGTGCTGACCCAGGCCTCCGCCACCAACAGGGTGGATGTGGCTCTGGGGCCTGCTGGGTAAGTGATTTCAGCCCACCCCTGGCTCACGTGTTCCTAAGACAGAGGTCAAGGATAGGAGCTCTCCCCCAGCCCCACCCCTGTGGCCATGGCAGGTTTGTGTCTTGCCAGTTGGGGCTGCTGAAGCAACAGACTTTGAAGCCTTGACTGTTCATGACGGCCTCTCCCTGTGTGTCATCTGGCCAAGACTGTTTTCCCGGAGCATGGAAATCTACTGGCCTTCTGCCACACATCCACACCACTGAGCATGTCACCTCCGCCAGTCCTTCCTCCACCCTCATGAAGGCGGGGAGACAAGAGGCCGTGGGGTCCCGCGTCTGCAAGCGGAGGCGCCTGTCCCGCGGGGCTGCCGTGCCTCACCCTGGTCTGCCTGCCGCCGCCCCCTCACTGCTGCTTTCTCTTCCTCACAGACGTCAAGCCCTCCAACATCCTGGTCAACTCCCGCGGGGAGATCAAGCTCTGTGACTTCGGGGTCAGTGGGCAGCTCATCGACTCCATGGCCAACTCCTTCGTGGGCACCAGGTCTTATATGTCGGTATGAACAGCAGGGGCCGATTCCCCAGCTTCCTGTCCGGTTGGGGATGGCAGCCAGGCTCCAGTCCTGAGTGGTGGTCAGGGGCCAAGAAAGGAGGGCTAAGGCACAGTGCCTGTTGCTGCCCCCCACCCAAAACCCCTCCCCCACTTTGTCACAGCGAGGCGGGGGGAACCGGTGTGCCTGGGCCCCTGCCTCACCTGCAGGACTTGGACCTTTGTGGGCATGGAGCTGAGCTTCTGTCTGGAGACAGTGAGCTCCCTGCCCTGTGGACATCTCCACCCAGTTGTCCTCGTCCCCTGCCGTTCTTATTTGGCCAGCATCCTCTCGGGGTCTGCCCTCCTGCCCCCAACCCCACTGGGCCCTGTTGCCACTAGCGTGCTGTGCCCACACCTGGGGCAGCACCTGTGTGCACTCTGCCCTCCCTGTACTAGGAGCTCCTTGGGGACAGGGCCAGGCAGAGGTTAATCAAGTGTGTGTGTGGGGGGCAGAAGGCATATGGCTGAGGACAGCTGGGAATGGTAGAGACCGGGGCCAGGTGAGTGCTGTGACGGGGCAGGGGTGAGCCATCAGTGGAGTGGGGGGGGGGTCAGGCACACGTGTGTGGGGTGGCCTGTGTTCTCTGTCAGCCCTGTGGCTTCCTCCCCTCCTCTCCCCTGATCCATGCTGCTGTCCTTGTGGCAACGATTGCTGTTCTTGTTTCAGAAGTGAGGAGGGTGAGATTCTGGCAGCGAACTTTGTGAAGGGGAGTGGGTGGGGCAGGCGCTTGGCACAGGGTGCAAGATGCTCCTGGGGCTGCTTCGTGGCACTCCGTAACAGTGTGCCTGGGTTTGGGTCCCAGCTCCGCTGGGGTGGTGCATCCTGGGAGGCGGCAAGTGGTGGCTCCTGCGGTTGGTCCTGTTGTCCATGTGGGAGACGGGATTGAGTCCTGGCTCCTGACTTCAGCCTGGCCCATCCCTGGCTGTTGTGGGCAGTTGGGGAGTGAACCAGTGGACAGGAGAGCTTTCTCTCTTTTTTAAATTAAATGGAAATAAATAATTAAAAACTAACATTACCAAAAGAAAGCATTTTAAGGAAAAAAGGCTTGGGAGCCAGCACTCTGGCATAGCAGGTAAAGCTGCTGCCTGTGGTACAGGCATCTCATGGGGCACTGGGTTCAAGTCCTGGCTGTTTCACTTCTGATCCAACTCCCTGCTAATGCACCTGGGAAAGCAGCAGAAGGTGACCCAAGTGCACCCACGTGGGTGACCCAGAAGAAGCTCCTGGCTCTTGGCTTCAGATTGGCCCAGCTCTGGCTGTTGCAGCCATTTGGTTAGTAAACCAGCAGATGGAAGATCTCTATCTCTTTGTCTTTCCTTCTTTTTCTCAATAACTCGCCTCTCAAATAAACAAATAAATCTTAAATAAAGATAAAAGCTTTATTTAATGCACCATTTTAAAAAAGATGTTTATTTTAAATTGATTTTCATCTACTTGAAAGGTAGAATGACAGAAAGACTGAGAGAGATTTGCATCCGCTGGTTCACTCCCGAAATGGTCACAACAGCCAGGGCTGGGCTTTGCCAAAACTAAGAGCCAGGAGCTCCATCTCGCTCTCCCAGTTGGGTGACAGGGCCCAAGTACTTGAGCCATCATCTGCTGCCTTCCAGGATGCATTTTGCAAGAACCTAGATTGGAAGTGGAGTAGCTGAGACTTGAACTGGCTTTCCTGGATGGGATGCAACACAGTGCCTACCCCACGCTCATAGTTGTGGAAGTTCATGTCCAGAGTCAGGCAGCCCTAGCTCTAGTGAGGACCAAGCGTCACATGGCAGGAGGTGTGGTGTGAGCGTGTGTGTAAGTCTGTGGAGCTCCTTGGAAAGCCACGAGGACTTTATCGAGGGGTTCCACCCTCAGGATTCCATCTGACGCAGCCACCACCCAGAGGCCTCTCCTCCAAACCTCGGAACTGGATTAAGGTTCCACCCTCTCAGTGCTGGTCACGTAAGACTTTGGGCACCGAATCCCTGATCTCAGAGAAACAAATGTTCAAACCATAGCCCTTGCCAGGCAGGACTGAAAGCCGCCTTGCCAGCTGGCGCTGTGCACAGCCAGCCCTCCCTCGCCTCCCGGTGAGGGAGTCCCTGCCAGGCCTGCATTCCTCCTGCTGGCCACCCTGATGGCCTCCACCCTCCCTGTCTCCTCACTGCGTCTTCCCTACGTGGCTGATAGCCAAGCAGCTGTTAGCCCCGAACTGCTCGGCCTACCTCTCAGGTTCAGAGTCAGCGGACAGGCAGTGGGCCTTATTGATCCAGGATTAGTGGTTTATGTCTTTGTGGTTAGAAGGTCAGTTCCAAGATATTCCAGTGTTAGTGAGAAACCCTATGGGAGGAGTTAATTTGCTGTCTAAATAAATATACCTCAGTGAGAATAGTTTTTCTTAAAATTCTTGAAATACATGTGGTATTTCAAGTGATGCTTTTGTGTAGTACAACTCTGTGTGTGTTTTTTTCTGTTGGGTCTGTCCCACCAATGTCAATCAATCTTGGCAATACATAGTCTAGGATTTCGTTTCACTTGCCCTCTCAGCAACTAGTAAGTGGCATGGGCATTTTGCTCCATTGCTATCACTATTACCACTGTCAGCTGCAGCCCCATTTTACAGGTGAGGAAGCTGAGGCTCGGGATCTCATAGTTTAGAAACCCCAAAGATGGGCCTTGAACCCCAGGCCCATTTTTTGCTCCCCAGTCTCAGGTTCATAGGGATGGAGCTTCACTAGATGCCAGCCCAGTAGGGCTGTCCGATCTGCACCGCCAGCCTCCTGGACCGTGCGCTGACGTCCCTCTTCCAGCGCGCGTTGTGATGGAAGGCTGGCTAGTGTGTCCGTGCTGCCAGACGTCCTGGTTCAGACTTGGTGACAGGATGAACCTCTCGCACGGGCTGTGGACAGGTTGCCTTGCACTACAAGACTGCAGCCAGGCTAGATGAAGCTGGAACACTGGCGTGGTGTAGCAGCCAGGGCCCAGCAGTCAGCTCTGCCAGTTCAGGGCAGCCCAGGGGCAGATAGAACCCTGAGGAGGGGTCCGAGCGGCAGAGCCTGCGAGGGTTGGTTTGGGGGCAGGTGCGAAGCCAAATTCAAGAAACTGGTTGATGCTGCTGAAGCAGCCCCGAGAGGACGGGACGGGAGATGTGGGCCTGTGCCCGTGCCGGGCCCAGCTTAGCTCAGGTGGTCTTGTCTGTGTCTCTGTCCTGCAGCCCGAGAGACTCCAGGGGACACACTACTCTGTGCAGTCGGACATCTGGAGCATGGGGCTGTCCCTGGTGGAGATGGCGGTGGGGCGGTACCCCATCCCGCCCCCCGACGCCAAGGAGCTGGAGCTGATGTTTGGGTGCCAGGTGGAGGGCGATGCGGCCGAGACTCCGCCCAGGCCCAGGACCCCTGGGCGGCCCCTCAGCTGTGAGTGGCCTGGTGTGTCCCAGCTTGCGTTCCGGGAGAGCCGGGGGTTTCTGGAAGGCTGGCTCTGCGTCATCGGCCCAGACAGGGACCCTGCGCTGGGTGCTGGGCGGGGGCCGGGTAGGGAGTTCCCGTGGTGGCCAGCAGCTTCCTGCCATTGGTTGGGTCCCCACCACGCCCTAGCTAGCACTTTCTGCACATCACCTCACCTGAGCTGCTGTGGTAGGTAGATCTTCTGAGATTACAGTTCACACGACAAATCCCAGGCCGTGTGCCTTTGTGAATCTGCACCTGTGTATCGTCCCTGCCCCTGTTGGGGGTCCCAGGCTCCGTGCCCAAGCCCTGTCTGTTTCTGAGAAGTGTTTCCTTTCTCTTTCTGGCATGGACAGCGTATGGAATGGATAGCCGGCCTCCCATGGCGATTTTTGAGCTGCTGGATTACATCGTCAATGAGGTGAGTGCACCCTGCCCTCTCGGAGTTGCTCCTCCTAAGAAAACACCCATGGTTGAGCTGACGGGAATCCTGCGGGTAGCTGCCCACGTGGGCCGCAGGGATTCCGTGTTCTGCTGCGTGTGCCATGCTGCTGGAGCTGAGAGGCCGATTTAGAACCTGCAGGAATCCCGTAGGGTCCCTCCTGCTCGCTCAGACTCGGGAGCCCCCAGCTTTCCCACTTGACCAGGCTTTCTTGCGTACTTGCTGTGTCCCGAGGACTGCGGGCAGGGGTGGGAGTAGAGCTGGGGTCCAAAGATGGAGAAACAGAAGCCCCTCGCCTGGCAGGCTGTGGAGAGGAGGCCAGGCGGACGCGTATGTAGCTGCTATGCAGTGTTTTCTCCTGGAAATGCCACCAACAAGCTGTGAGCAGAGGGCTTTTGTCCCACTGGGAAGATACCCACATCCCCTTCAGCACTCTTGGCTTCAGAGCCCAGCTCCTGATTCCAGCTTCTGCCAAGCAGCCCCGAAGGCAGTAGTGAGAGCTCAGTTGGCTGGATTTTTGCATGGGAGACCTGGCTTCAGCCTGGCCCAGCCTTAGCTGTTGCAGGCATCTGGAGAGTGAACCAGCAGGTGGGAGCCCTCCTTTTAGGTTTCTCTCAAAGAAAATTTTGAAAACCATGAATGTAAAATTGAGTACAGAAACAGGGACTATATCCACCATACCCTGTGTGAAGAGAGCAGATTATTACAGTGTGTGCACTGTGGTCAGTTCCTTGTGAAAGATCCACGTCTGTACACACGAGAGCACTTCAGAAACAGGGAAAATGAAGTTAGGGGCTGGCATCCCCTGGGAGTGCCAGTCCCAGCTGCTCGACTTCCGATCCAGCTCCCTGCTAAGGCCTCTGGGAAAGCAGCAGAGTGCTTGGGCCCCTGCACCCATGTGGGAGATCGGAAGAAGCTCCCGGTTTTGGCCTGGTCCAGCACCAGCTGTTGAAAGAAAAGAAAAATTAAAAGTACAAACTGTTTTGTGCAAGAAATGGCATAGGATGTGGAAATTGCTTATTATGAGAACACTGCTAGAGTTCCAAATATTTTCATACACCAGAATAAACTCAGTTTTAATTTCATGTTTCTGTGAACTTTTAGAAGCACCCTTGTACGTGCAATAAAGTCTGGAAATTAATAAGACAGTGGTTATTTTGGAGTGAAACTATTGACGAACCACAAGTTTCTTCTTGCGTGTTGCTGCTGGCTGACTTTAATGCAAAGACAAGCATTGTTGGTGAATTGTGTACTTGTATGCCATTGTGTGTAAATGAAAAAGGGATAGATAAGACACTGCTTGGGGCTCCTGGCTTCAGAGCAGCGTGATGCGCCGGCTGCGGCAGCCATTGGAGGGTGAACCAACGGCAAAAGGAAGACCTTTCTCTCTGTCTCTCTCTCTCACTGTCCACTCTGCTTGTCAAAAAAAAAAAAAAAAGACACTGCTTGGGACACCTGCATCCCATATTGGAGTATCTGGCTCTGCTCCGATTCCAGATCCTGCTAATGTGTGATGTGCGACCTGGGAGGCAGTGGTGATGGCTCACGGCGCTGGGCTCCTGCACCCACGTGGGAGACGTGGCAGTGCTGGCGTGTAGGGAGTGAACCAGCCTCTCGGAGACAAAGCACGGGGTCTGCAGGGAGTAGGACGTTGTGCAGGAGCTCGAGGTGCTCGGAGGTGGAGGGGGCGTGTCTGGAGGAGCTGGGCTGAGGAGTCTGGACAGGGCCAGCGCCCCTGGCCACGGGGAGAGCCGTGGCTGGCTGGAAAGCCTGGACGAGTTCTGGCAGTTTGGGAGGCAGCTGAGGCCCGAGTTGGCTGCCGTGTAGGACCACAGGGTTGGCCCCAGCCTCTTCCTCAGGAATGAGATTCTGCACTCAGCATTTTCACAAACTAGGCCCGGGGCTGCATGGGGCAGCGTGGCCTGGGCTCCAGGGCCCCGGGACCATTATGGAAAGGCTCAGGAAGGTCCCCCTTGTCCACTGCAGACCCAGCAGGCCGCAGGCTAAGCCATCCCTGGCACATGTTCCCTGCCACTAGGGGTCTGATTTATGTCTGCACAGCTTTGTGCTAAGCACCGTGTGTGGCAGCTCAGGTCTGGTCCCTGCTGCCCCCGGGCTTCGGCCTGCAGAGCAGGTCAGGTTTGCGCAGTCAGGATAACGCCCTCAGCTGGTGCCTGGGGGAGCCCTGCGCTTAAGTGTGCACCTGCTGCTCTCCTGGGGCACCGTGCGCCTCTCCCACATCCTCACCTCCATTCCAACTTCGCACAGGTGAGGAGACAGGCTCCTCCTGCTGTACCCAGCCCCCTCCCCACTCCCTTGGACAGTGCCTGCAGGGTGGGACTCGCTGGGTTCTGGGCCTTGGCCTTCGCTCAGACTTCAGAGGCCTCAGGGAGGAAGGCTGTGCCTTCCTGTAGAGGGTGTCAGGGTCTCCGCTGTTGATGTGGGGCTGGACGGCCGCTGTGCCTGGGGGCTGGCTGCTCCCCAAGCAGACTCTGCTGCGGTGTGCAGGCCCCCTCTTTGGGACCAGCCCTGCACCCACTCGTGTTTCAGCTGTCCTCTGCCTTGCCGGGGCTCAGGGCTTAGGAGGGGATCTTTTCTCCTGCTTGCGTGTGCAGGCGCTGGCAGGGCTGGGCTCTGCGTGGTGGCTTGCACGTGCGCCTAGCTGCTGCTGCTGGTTCCCGCCCCATGCCCCACTCCAGGGTTTTCGGTTGTAGTCAGAGCTCCAAAGGCAGCGCCTCATCTCACGGGAGGAAGATCGAGGCTCAGGGAGGAAGAGTGATTTGCTTTAAGTCACCAGGCAAGTGAGTGCTGGACACTTGACCTGGTCCCAGTCCTGACTGTGCTAAGTGCTATACTGCAGTTCCAGCACAGTGGCCAGCAGCTCCCCCTGGCTGGGCAAAGGCAGTGCTGTGCAGGGCGGGCGGGACGGGGAGATGGCTGGAGCGGGAGCCCACGCGTCTCACAGCTTCACCTTTCTCTGCAGCCTCCTCCGAAACTCCCCAGCGCAGTCTTCAGCCTGGAGTTTCAAGATTTTGTGAATAAATGGTAAGTCGGCTCCCCACCTCCCCTGGGAGCCCCAGCTTGGCCTCTGTTGGGGATGTGCGTACACACAGACACACCCCTTCTGGCAGAGTGTGGGGACCTACAGGATGTGTTTGGCTGCAGCTGCTGCCCTGGGCACTTGCTCTCCGGGCACTGGCATGTTGCTTTTGGACCTCAGTGTGATTAAGAAGGGGTGGCCTTCCGAGTGCAGGCCATTGTGCTAAGAAAGGGAAGAGGCGGAGGCCCGGGGACCTCCTCAGCCTGCGGCGTGCGGGGAGGTGGGCCAGAACCAGTGCCAGGCAGTGGCTCTCACCCTGTCTTGTCTTTTTTGAAGCTTAATAAAAAACCCCGCCGAGAGAGCAGACTTGAAGCAGCTCATGGTGAGTGCATTTATTTCAGATCCTTAGATCCAGTCCAGTGCCTGTCGATTTGTGTTCTGTCCCCCCACACCCCGCCCCAGCCACCCACCTGGGGCCTCCTGAGCCCATTCCTGCTGTGCCCTGACCCCTGCGGGCTGCCAGGCCCCAGCCGCCTCTACCCTTCATGGGGTGAAGGAAAAGCCAGTGCTCCCCTGCCCCAGTGAGACCAGAGAGGGCCTCTCCCCGGCCCCCCAGCACCAGGGCCTCTCTACCCTGACCTGCCTCCTCTGTTGGGTGGTGGGGAACGGGAAGGCGCTCCTGTGGGCCCCCATGGCCTTTCATGCTCCAAGCAGTGGCCCAGGCCTCAGAGCTGCTGCCGCTGCCGCCCTGACTCCACTGCTGCTCAAGGGCGGCTCCAGGGGTCTTTCAGGTGCAGCCCGCGCTCCACCCCGCAGCCTCTTGGGTCTTCCTCTTGGCTTTGTGACCGTTTCTTCTCCCTGTCGCCTTGCGTGCAGGTTCATGCTTTTATCAAGAGGTCTGATGCCGAGGAGGTGGATTTTGCTGGTTGGCTGTGCTCCACCATCGGCCTTAACCAGCCCAGCACGCCGACGCACGCGGCCGGTGTGTGAGCACGGGGCGTGGCGTGGAGCCGACCCCCGCCCAGCGGTCTTCTTCCCGTGCTTGTCCCTGTTCAGGCGCACATTTCACCTGTGACAAAGGATGAGGAACACAGCATGTGCCAAAACCTCTTGGTGTCATTCTCTCACTGTCTCTATCCTTAATACTGTCGTTACTCCCGAGTGGACTGGCTTTGTGCTTGGGGCTGTCTGAGTGTGCTGGTGATCAAAACTCGTGCCAGGCTTCACAGTGAACCCTCTGGCAAGTGTGCGTGCGGCCCCACCTCTGTCCTGGGTGGGGCTCACGCCGGCCACGCCTTCTCCATGTGAGTGGGCACCTGGCGGCCCTGCGCAGGGAGTGCATGAGAAGCATGCTTTGCTGCCGTGGAATGAGCGCCAGAGTGGACATCTTGTCACCTTCCTACTGGTCCTCTTGCTTTCTGTGTCGAATTCAGCAGTTCCCATCCAAATCCAGCCAGAGCCCCTCACTGCCAGGCTAGCTGGGCTCCCCAGCCTGTCTCCCGGGACGATGTGTAGACTGCTGGTTGTGTTTCTGTATTTATTTTAAATAGACTGTGTGGGGTATCTAGTGGTAAATGTCTCTAAGTTTGGAGTAGTGTTTCGAAATTGGTGGAGTTATTTTGAATGTCACAAATGGATCAAGGCATTAAAATGTGTCAGATTTCTCTCTTCAAATCTAAGTACCAATGCTGTTGTAAACAACGATGTGTACAGTGCCTACAAATTGTATGAAAATCCTTTTAACCATTTTATTCCAGATGTTTAACGAATTAATCTCTTATTCTAATAAATACAGTATCAAGTTAAAATCACTGGAAACTACGTGTGTGTTTGTGGTGGGCTTCCCAGGGTCTCTGGCACACAAGAAATCACAGGATCCAGCCCAGTGCCTCGGGCTCCCGGGGCTCCTGGAATTAGTCCCGTCCCGCGCCCGTCTGCGCTGCTTCTCTTCATACAAGGGAAAAGCGGGAGGCAGGGGCTGGAAGAAACCCCAGAAAGATCACAAAACTTTGCTTACTCACTGAACACTTTCCATGACCAAGAGCCAGGCTGGGGGCTTGGGCGGGCCTTGCTGCTGGAGAGGACTGTGCCTGGCACACATCAGTCAATGCCTGGGGAGGGGGAGCAGGAAGTCACAGGGTGACTGGGAACTGCGGTGCGTGGGAAGCCTTCAGCCGGGCTCGTGTTCTGCTTCCCAAGAGCAGGTTTCAGAAAACCAAAGCAGGAAAGTAAAAGGCCTAGCTCAGTCTTAGGCTAAAAACTGAACTTGGATAAGACACCTAGAACAGGCAGTTGTACCAGGAGCTGGGGACACAGGTAGCCCAGGCTGCCACCGCTGCGCAGGGCTCACCCACCACTGCCAAGGCTCCCTGGTCCACTTCTGCCTGTGAGACCATAGCTGGGCTAGGCCAACAGTCTGACCTACTCCTTTGCAACTTGGAGACCCCAGGGCTGCTGGAAGCCCCACTTGAGTCCCATGCTCACATCACCCACAATGAGCAGACCGCATCCCCAGGGGAAGGAACAGTGCCCCCTGGTGTCTCCAGAGGGTGTTTGAAAACTGAACTGCTTAGCTAACCTCGCCCACTGCTTCCTCAGACTTCCAAACTGAGCCAGCAGCCCCGGCTGGGTTCCAGATGGCATCATGTGAGCCTCATGACAACCTGCGCAACGACCAGAGCCGAAGGAATGGGAAGGTGACAGCTGAGAACTAAGAGCAAGTGGCCAGCTGGTCGGGGTGGGATTTGCAGCTCAAAAAAACACAGGGTTGGGGGCCGGTGCCCTGGTGTAATGGACCAAGCCTCCACCTGTGCTACCATATGGGTGCTAGTTCAGGTCCCGGCTGCTCTCTGCTGTGGTCTGGGGAAGCAGTAGAAGATGGCCCAGGTCCCTGGGACCCTGCACCCGCATGGGAGACCTGGAAGAAGCTCCTGGCTTCAGATCAGCCCAGCTCCAACCACTGTGGCCATTTGGGGAGTGAACCAGCAGATGGGATATATATAACTCCACCTTTCAAATAAATAAAATCCTAAAAACGAGAAAACAAAATGAGGCAAGCATTTAGCTGTGCAGTCACGTCACCACTGAGGCGCCTGCACCTGAGTGTACTTGGGTTCGAGCCCGACTGCAGCTTCCTGCTAACGCAGACCCTGGGGAGGCAGAGCTGATGCAAGTACCTGGGTTCCTGCCGCCCGTGCACAGAACTTGGACTGAGTTCCCTACTTCAGCCCTGGCCCAACCGTCCATCAGACAATCTGAAAGTGAACCAGCAGACACGTACTCTCTCAAATTTTACACACACACACACACACTTACATTTATTTTATATAAATATGTAAATATATATATATTCACTCATGTTCCAAAATTGTCTTCACGTTGTGTGTTCCAAGGAACATACTCATTTAAACTTCTGGCTGTGGGAGCTCAAAATAACGAATGCACACTGGCAAAGGTGTCCGTGTTCTCTGGAGCAGTCACACTCAGCTGCCGTGCTCGCTGGTGCTTTGCCAGGGGTCAGGTTTACAGGACGAAGCGACTCCATATTCATCTGTTGAGTGGAGATGCTCCTGGATGCAGGAGTGAATCTCTTACTCTGAAGCCGTCCTTTCTATTAGAAAAATCCAATCACCCAAGCACACTGGTTTCTTTTACTTGACTCCTTTTATTTATCAGGAAGGCAGAGACAGAGACCTCCCACCGACTGGTTCACTCCTCAAACACCCACAATAACTGGAACTGGGCCAGGACAAAGCTGGGAGCCAGGAACTCAATCTGGGTCAGCCACATGGGTGGCAGGGACTCGATCGCTTGAGCCATCACCTGTTGCTTCCCAGGGTGCACATTAGCAGGAGGCTGGAAGGGGGAAGAAGTGGGCCTCGAACCCAGGGGCTCCAACATGGCTGTGGTGGCCCACGCAGCATCCCCCGCTGCACGGTTTCTTTGACGGCACTTCTCCCAGGGGCCAGAGACAGGCTTGGGAGCAGTCTGCTGGGTGCCCTCCGGAGGGGATCTGCGGCTTCTCTGTAGACTTCCAGGCACGTGAAACCGGGCGTGCCTCAGATGGATGGGGCAGCTGCCCCACAGAGCCCTCTAATGCGTGGTGTCACTCGCGGCCTTAGTCCTCCCCTCGTCAGCTTTCATACCCGACGGCCTAACGGCCACCAGGATACAATGGCAAAAACTTGCACTGGTTTCCCTCAGAGACACACTGTGGACTGGAAAGGGTGATTTGAATTAAACTCTGCCAGTTTTGTAAACCCCAGGATGTCTTGGTAGCACCCCAGAGGAAACTGAACACAGTGAACGAGCCCGACCTGCTGACCAGCACCACGCACACTGTGCCACAGCATGGCCACATCTGCAATTTCCGGTGTCACTCACTCTCGTTAGTAAGATTCTGAAGGGGCTGGTGCTGTGGCAATGGCCAGAGCTGCACCGATCCAAATCCAGGAGCCAGGGAGCTTCTTCCAGATCTCCCACGCGGGTGCAGGGGCCCAAGCACTTGGGTCACCTTCCACTGCTTCCCCAGGCCATAGCAGAGAGCTGGATCGGAAGTGGAGCAGCTGGGACCTGAACCGGTTCCCATAAGGGATGCTGGCACTGCAGGGGTGGGGCTTTACCTGCTATGCCACAGCGCCGGCCCCCTGGCTTCCCTTCTAAGCAAGCATGGCTCTTGGTAAGATGATGCTGATTTCTTTAGAGAGAGTGAGACTTGGACGTTTGTGTGACCCTGGCTCCTTTCCTTTTTTAGGAATCTGACTCCTCCTCCTCCTCCTCCTCTTCTTCTTCCATCACGTGGCTCCTTGTACTTAACTCCAGTGCAGTTTGGTTGATAGATGCTTCATTGTCTACATGCACCAGCATCTGTGTTAGCCAAAGATAGTACACATTAGCAGGAAAGACACCGGCCTCAGAACAGCAAATTCTGAAAACTGCTTTCAAGTCACACGATTGGGTGTCCGGCCCCCATTTTTATGACCAAGAAGCCTGGCTTCTCTCCTGTTTGTCCAAATTCTGTCCCCACCGCCACCGCTACCAGAGAGGGCTCCAGCGCAGGAACTGTGCCCATTGACACGGGACTCTGCAGGCTCCTCACACCACACCTGGGCCAGCGGCGCTGCCAGGACGGTCAGAGGTGACTTCGCTAAGCGGCAGGCTCTGGACTGCAGCTGAAGTCACACTCTTCCCACCCCAGGGTTCCTTATTCACAAAGCAGCAGGAAGTCTGACCCGGCCCTCCCCAGGTCTCCGCACTCTCTGGGTTTATCCGTGCAGGAGGGTGGAAGCAGCCTTGTTACAGTGTAACCAGCGGCTGCAACGTCGTCGGACTGACCCCCCGCCGGCTTCCGCCACCAGAGGCCTGGGGCAGCGTCCCACGCAGGCAGCCTGCGACTCCGCCCCCTGCCCCCTGCCCCCAGCACTCACGGAGCTGACGTCTTCGGGCTGCTGAGCTACAGGCTGGGAAGACACCATCTCATCGTGCCCCCTTCCAGAATTAATCATTGACTGGAGGGCCAATTCTTCAACCTGCAAGGGAAGAGGCGAAAGACCCTTTCCTTACTATTCCACTGGGCTACTGAGCTGCCTAAGCTCCTGGGCGTGCAGGGGAGGCTGGCGCCGTGACGGAGGGGAAGAAGGAGACCAACAAAGAATGGCCCTGCGCAATACAGGTGTTCCAGCTGAGGCAGGTTCCCCTCCTCTCACCCGAACCTAGCAGCTCCTGGAGGGCACCCTATTCAGAAACCAGGGGTGCTTCCCGCAGCACCAGCAATGCTCGCTAGTGCTGCGAAGGGGCGGGGTGGACCACGGCGTCGGGAACCGCGAGCCGCGGCCACCCGGCCCGGAGAGGAGGACGGGCGGCAGCCGGCGAGCGCCGCCGCACGGGCCCGGTCACCTTGAGACGGTTCAGCTGGTCGTGCAGGGCCGCCTTCAGCTTCAGCAGCGTCTCCTCTTCCTTGCGCAGCTCCTGAAGCCGGCTCAGCATGGCCCCGCGCCCCGTCGCCCGGCTCCGCCGGCCGGTCGCTCGCTGATGACGCCACGCCGGCGACTCCCGGAAGTGCAGCAGGGGCGGGACCGGCGGCCATGTTAGGGAGGGCGGCGTGGCGCTTCCTTCCGGCGCTCGCTGCGGCCTGGCGTCTACGCGGGACGCTTCCAAAACACTTCTCGATCGACTGTGCCGATCCGTTCAGAGAGCGGCGCTCGCTGTTGCCAGGGAGAACGAAGCTTTCAACCCAAAGGCTGCAGCCGCCCTTAGAGTCGTGGCGCGTGAACACCGCGCCCCAGTCGGCTACCTGGGGACCGCAGAGCAGAGCCCACCACGGGCAAGGGAGACGGTGCCTCCGCTTGCAGGGACGTGGGGGTCGCAGTAGGACCACAAAAGGGAAAACGGTGCCTCTGCAGGCAGGATCGCGGTGGGTCGCAATAGCACCACAGAGGGGAGAAGGTGCCACAAGGAGCCCTGAAAGCAGTTGAATTCTGCTGTGAAACGTGCACACTGGTGCTGCTGGGAGGGGGCAGGGCATCCCCGCATGACACAGGCCGTGTACCCCGGGGCTGTCTCGGGGTGCCTGCAGCCCGCAGCCGCACGGGCACCACTGTGCCCTCCTGTGGGATCCTCGCAGGTGCACCCTACTCCTGACCCAGCCCCGCACAGCACACTGACCAGTCCTTAGGACCCTGCCTCCATGTGGGAGACCCAGATGGAGTTCCAGGCTCCTGGCTGCAACATGGCTCCGCCTTGGCCAGTGCGGCCACTTGTATTAATAAGGCAGAGGTCTGTGTCACCCAACTCTGCCTTGAGTGTTGTCCTGTTCCCTGGGAGGCTTAACTTTGAACCCATGTACTTCCGGTCTTACAGACCTACCAGACTGAGTGGCTTCCCTTGCATGGATTCAGTGTAAAATAGAGAATGAAGTAAGGAGGGTGGAATTTAAAGTCACACAACCCAGTAAGTGTTCTACACCGTCTCTGGCAGGGCCTTTATTCAGATAAAGTGACCTGCGATAAAGTAGCTGGCTTTAGGCAGTGGGCTTCTGTACTCTGTACTAAGAGTCATACAACCCAGTTTTTCACATCATCTCTCTTAGGACTTTTATTCAAAATAAGTGGCCCGGGATAAACGAGCTGCCACGTTAGGCAGCAGGCTTCTTGTCTTCCGGGCCGGCCCTCTTGTCGGCAGCCTTCTTGTCTGCAGCTGGCTTCTTGGCGGCAGCGGCCTTCCTCCCCACCACAGGCTTCTTCTTCTGCTTGATGCCCACGGCCCTGGGCTTCTTCACCTTCTTCCCCACCACAGGCTTCTTCTTGGCTGGCGCCTCCTTCGGGTCAGATTTGGCTGCTAGTGCCGCGGCCGCCCTCTCCACGCGGAGCTTGTGCTGCGAGGGAGGAGGCACAGTAAGAATGGAAGCTGCAAGGGGCAGTGCGCCTGCCCGAGCCCGGGCACGCTCACTCACGTTCCGGGCCTGCCGCAGGATGGTGTTGCGCCGCATGGTCTTCGCGTACGGGTTCAGCTTCAACATGATCCTCAGGTTCTTCAGCGGGTTCTTCTTCAGGACGCGGCGATGGATCTTCTTGCTGTAAAACATGTCAGCATTTCAGTCACATCACGTGCACCTCGGAGTAGCCAGCAACAGGACAGCGGGGCAAGGGCAAGGGCAAGTTCACTCTACCGTGGTGCTCGGAGCGCTCTCTGGATCTCTGGGCTCTTCAAGATTCTGCTGAGGTCTGTATTGAGCATCTTGTGCATGGGAAGGCTGAAGGGGTAACGTGTGATCAGCTAAAACCCCACGTGTATCTCAGGAGTAAAAAATCATTTATGCACAGCAGACAGCAAGCAGAATCCCCACATTTCTTGTAAACACCGGCCACAGGAAGGCAGAGCAGATCCCACCCAACCCCCCACTTGGAAACAGGCAGATTTGGAATGTCAGCAGCCGTCAGCATGGAGAACAGCACTCACTTGTAGTTGCTCTTGAGGGACGCGGCTTTACGCCAAGTGCCGTACAAGTCGTCCAGCTTCCGGAAGGCACTCTCCGTCCAGATGCAGAAGCGCCCCACGTGCCCGCCGGGCGCGAGCTTCAGGATGTTCAGCTTGGTCACGTTGAGCAGAGTGATCCCTGTGGGAGGGAAGGGAGAATGAGCGAGCCTGCGCCACAGGAAGGCACCAGCACCAGGCAGCTCGCTCAGCTGAGAGGTCAGAAGTTCCACAAATCATGGACTTCAGAAACACGGACCACAGTGGAGTCTCATCATCCTAGCCGAGCGAGCGCACCTCCGCGCGGGGACACGAGCCAACCGTGGCGTTACCAGGGATGTTCCGGAAGGCCTTGACGATGCCGTTGTCCTCATTGTAGATGACGCAGGGGCCCCTGCGCTGGATCCTCCGGCGGTTTCTCATTTTGCCCTTGCCAGCCCTCATCCGCTGAGAGGCGTACACCTACAGAGTGGGACGGTACTGAGACAGGATCTCCCAATGAAAATCGGTACTGCAGATCATCACGTGTGGGCACAAGAAGCTTGCTTAAGGTTATATACAGCCAGCTCCACGTCCTTGCTCTCCCAAATGCTATGGCCTAGGAAAAGCAATGGAAAATGGCCCAAGTTCTTGAGCCCCTGCACCCACATGGGAGCTCCTGGATTCAGATCAGCACAGCTCCGGCCATTGTGGCCTTCTGGGGAGTGAACCAACAGATGGAATACCTCTCTCCTCCTCTGCCTTTCGAATAAATCAATCTAACAAAACCAAACCTCTACACATACGGGGTGGTGACTGCTGCCTTCTACAACTACCTTTTGATAGTTGGTATGGAAACCGACATGTGCTTTTGAAAGCTACCTTCTTGATGTCATTCCAGGCCTTGAGTTTCTTAAGCAGCAGAACTGCCTCCTTGGTCTTCTTGTAGCCTTCAACCTTATCTTCGACCACCAGAGGAAGCTCCGGCACTTCCTCAATACGATGACCTGCCAAAGCCAATTCTGTGTTATCTGGCTACCCTGTGCCCCCTGAAAATCACACATGGATGACCCAGAGGAAAACGGGATACAATCTGCTGCATCAGAATTCCCACAATTATCATGTGTTTCAGAAACACGGACCAATGAAGTGGAATCTCATCATTTTGACAGCTGCGAGGGGAGCGTGACAGAAGTCCAGAGTGTACTACTGACACAGACCTGCTGGACTGACACAGTGCAGCGCTTAGTAAGGAACATTTCACACAGGCAGTTAGGACCCAAAAATGCCACAGACCTTTAGACATGACCAGCGCTGGCAAGGCCGACGCAGCCAGGGCAGAGCAGATGGCGTACCGCTTCTGGGTCGTGTTCACTCGCCGGTGCCAACGGCGCCAGGTTTTGGTTGGTGCGAACATGCGGCCTCCTCGGCACATCTAGTTTCTCAGTGAAGAATTACTTTTTTCAAATTTTAGTCATTTTAGAAAAAGGCTGTCTTGCTCAGTTAGCATTTTCGTCAACCTTCTGAACCAGCACACTGACAGCAGGCAACTGTCGCTGAGAACAGAGTAAGACGCAAATTACGACATCACGGCAAGCGCACAGCGCCACACGAGGCCCTGGGAGGCCCTTTCTACATCAAAGAGCGGCGTCTAACAGAGTATTTCTGTGCTGTATAAGCCGACCAGGTCCGGTCAGCTGCCTTCCCCGAGAGGGACTGGTGCAGGCAGGCAAACAAAGGATACATTCCCAAAGGCACCCTGGCCGGATCGGTGCGTCCCGCCACCTCGCACTCTGGGAATTCGCGCCACAGCTCTGCCAGTACCCCACGACTCAGCACTGGTCTGGTGACCTAAAAGAGCGAAGAAACAGATGTTCTAGCTACTTCATTACACCCATCATGACAACGCCAGGCAGCAAGCAGCATCAGAGCGTCGAGAACATCACGTGTTCAGAAACACGGACCAATGAGCTGGGATCTCATCACGGCTGCAAAGCGGCCCCACCCGAGGCCGAGGAGAGGCGCACAGCCGTACCTGCCAGCTCACTGACGGCATAGGGCTGCCTGTTGTTCTTGCGCAGGTTGGTGTGCACGAAGTTCACGATGTCTGGCCGGATGGGAGCCTTGAACACGGCGGGCAAAGTCACATTTTTGCCGGACGACTCCCCCTTCTCGGAGTACACCGATATGAGTGGACGAGCACACGCCTCGGGGAGAGAACAGACACTCAGGACCTCGGGCCCTGCCCCCACGATTTCCACCCTCGACTCATCCGAACTTCCGTTCCTAATCATCTCCGGTGAAGTGCACCTTTCGGGAATAAACTTCCCTCAGCGCTGGCCTTTGTTACTTTCTGGCCGCGACACCCAGGGCTGCAGGCTGGGCCCACACAGCCGGCTTCCCTTGGATGCCTCTCCCAGCCCCTGCTGGGACCCCCACCCCCTCCGGCCACGCTGTGCACTCCTCCGCAATCCCCACATGGCCACTCGAGAGTCACTGTCTGTAAAACTTCAGTCTTTTTAGGAAGGTTGTCTTGCTCAGTTAGCAGTTTCGTCAACCTTCTGAACCAGCGCGCTGACAGCAGGCAACTGTCGCTGAGAACAGAGTAAGACGCAAATTACGACATCACAGCAAGCACACCTCCCCGGGAAGCCGCTCGGAAATTGTATCCAAGTAAGATTCGGCGCTAGGGCACCCCGAACACTTCCGACCTCGTTCACTCAATCGCCCTAAGGACAGCGCTGTCACTGCTCCACTGCCTTACCCCAGCCGCGCACACACACGGACCCCACGGCTTTTAGAGGAATGGCTCCTAGGCCGGGCAGGGAAGTAAAAAACAGGTGTCCTCCTCCGTTTAACAAAGCCCCGAAGGTAAGAACCTCTCACGTCGCGTGAGAGACCGCACACCGACCCTCCTCGGCCCCTTTGGGTCTCAGGCCCAGGGACCTCCCGATCCCCGCAGAACCCGTTTCCCAACATCCAAGGCGCCCGAGAACGACCGGCGCGCCTGAGCCGGGCCGCCCACGTTGCCCTTAAGATGGCTGCCGGGTCTCCATACAACCCGGCTGCTCGGCAGGAAACAGACGCGCTCGGCCCTCATCGCCTTTGCTCTTCCTCCCTCGCAAGCTTTATGGCCCGAACCCCTAGTCCTCCCCGACTAGCACCCCACACGAGAGGACAGTCGGGCCCGGACGACTTCCACTCACCATGGCGGGGAGAGGTGAGAGCCACGCTCCTCTCCTCCCGGCGGCTCCCACAGGAAAAGGAAGGACCTATCACTCCCGCGCTCTATGTACCCTTCAACTCGTCCCCCACCTAGCCCGCCTAAGAACCCACGCGGAGGAACAAAACCTCCCTATACCACACTGTAGAAATCAGAAGCACCGTATTGTTTATTCATGTGGCTCAGGTTACGTAGATATTGTCTTTCAAAATTAATAATAGTGTTCAGATTGAAGGGACTCTTTTGCGCGGAGTAATCCTCAAGGGGCGTGGCCAAGTCTCGCGAGACGCGGTGTCTTCTCCCGTAACCCCTACACTTATTTTTATTTTATTTATTTATTTTTTTCCAGAACAGGACTGAAAGAGCTGTGGTTAAGAAAAGACGCGTATTTTGGTGCTGCGAAATAAAAATTTAACTTTGCGGAAAACGGAACTCGTGGAGCGTAAAAGTAGTCCCGGCGGGGCGGGGCTGTGACCCCTGACGTCGGCGGCGGGCGCGCAGTTCGAGTCGGACCGGGGCGGGATGTGGGCGCGAGTCAACCGGGCGGCGGCGGATTTCTACGCTGGCCTGCTGCAGTGAGTCGTGGTCCCCCGCGTCGGCCGGGGTCTGGGGACGGCTCTCCCGCCCCAGGGGACCCGGCTGCCCGCGTAGAGCCGCCTGCCGCCCTGGGGCGCTCGCTTCTCCGGCGTCCCGGGGCGCGGGAGGCGGCGGGGGGGGGCGGGACGGGCCCGGGGAGGGGGCTGGGGGGCGTTTTGGGGACAAGAGCCTGTGCGTTATCTAGCCAGGTGGGAATTGACGAGCCTTCCACGGAAGCCCCCGACCCGGCCGCAGGTGCTCCCACCTGTGACGGAGAAGCAGAGGCACCCCGGAGACGGAACGCTCCGTGTCGGGGCTCCTCACCCGTCCGCTCCGGGGCGGGCCGCGCGCAGTGCTTCGTCCTATCTAAACGTCGGACCCACCGGGGCCTAAATAACTACCAGTTATTTTCTAAATACAAAAAATATTTTTTTAAGAGGCCGGCGCCATGGCGCAGCAGGTGTGGCTGTGGCCTGTAGTCCGAGCCGCTCCGCTTAGACCCAGCTCCCTGCTAAGGCGCCGGGAGAGCAGCGGACGATGGCCCAAGTGCTTGGGCCCCTGCCACTCCTGTGGGAGACCCGGAAGATAGATGGGCCTGGCTCTGTCCTGGCCCTGCCCTGGCTGTTGCGGCCATCTGGGGAGATCTCTCCCTCTGTGTAACTCTGCCTTTCAAATAAGTAAGTCTTAGATTCATCTGTTTATTTACTTAAAAGGCAGAGTTAGGGAGGAAGACACGGAGAGAGAGGTTCTATCCGCTGGTTCACTTCCCAGATGGCCAGGCCAAAACAAGGAGCAGCATCCGGGCCTCCCGCGTGGGTGCAGGGGTCCAAGCACCTGGGCCACCTTCCGCAGCTCTCCTAGGAGAATTAGCAGGGAGCTGTGTCTGAGCGGAGCAGCCGGGGCTCAAGCGTGGGTTGTTGGCATTGCGGGCAGTGGCTTTGCCAGCGCCATGAATGCCGGTATTTTGAATTGTTTATCGCTGTTCTTCTGAAGTTTTTAAGCATTATATAAAGAGCCCTGGCTCTTTGAGAAACTGCCAGTGCCTTGGGTTTCTTTCAGGGTGAGCGCCCATAGAACTGTTGGGTTGTTTTTAACTGCTATGTGGCATTTCATTCTGCCAGTCCCCTACTGATGGAACTTTATTTAGACACTTGCTGCTTCCCGGCACTGGGGGAGTGTTGGTCTTTCCATTGTAAGCACTGACGTTTCTGTGTGGCTTCTCTTGCATCGCTCACAGGGACTGTGTACCCAGCTCCCTGCTGGAAATGATTTTTTAAAGGTTTATTATTTGAAAGGCAGAGTTAGAGGGACAGAGAGCGCGCTTCCATCCTCTGGTTCACTCCCACAAATCCTGAAGGCAGGAGCCTGGAACAACGTCTGAATCTTTCACCTGAGTGGCAGGGGCCCCAGGTGGTTGCGCCATCTAATGCCACTTTCTCAGGCACGTTTGCAGGGAGCTGGATGGGAAGTGGAGCAGCCAGGACTTCAACTGGCTCTCATATGGGATACGGGCACTGCAGGTGGCGGCTTAACCCGCTGAGCCACAACCCACCCCCCAACCCACTGGAAGTTTTCACATAGGAGACCTCAGTGCCTGCAAAATGGAATTGATTTTCTGCCTAACCTGACATCGGTTCCTGAATTCCGTCTCCGAGTTAAGAGTTCTCAGCCGAAGCCTCCTACCCTGACCCCACCCTCCACCCTCAGTCCTCTGTTCGCCTCCAACCCTGCTGTTCTCCAGCCCACACTCGTTCCCGCACGCCAGCACTGTTGCCGTCCTTACTGGCAGGAAGAGCGCAACTGTTTAAAACCCTTCAGTGAGTTCTTGGCTTTCAGGATCCAGTTCGAGTCCTGTAAGCTAGCTTCCTGTGCTGGTCACCATGCAGATTGGCTTCCTTGGGGGACTCCAGTTGGCCAGGGACCATGCTTTTGTTTGAGATCCCCAGCACCTAACAAGAGTGCCTGGTGTATAAAGCACATTTTGAGAGATGATTAATTTGTGACTGATGAAACAGCATCCCTGAGTTATCCATAAAAAGACACCATCTTTGGTGCTGTCATTGTGGCGTGGCGAGTTAGGCCACCATCTGGACTCTGGCATCCCAGATGGGGACCGATTCCTGTCCTGGCTGCTCCACTTCCAATCCAGCTCCCTGCCAGTGTACTGAGGAAGCAGCAGAAGATGGCCCAAGTGCTTGAGCCCCTGCACCCATGTAGGAGACCCAGAGGAAGCTCCTGGCTTCAGCCTGGCCCAGCCCCAGCCATTGCATCCCTCTGGGGAGTGAACCAGTGGGTGGGTGAAAGATCTCTCTGTCTCTGTAACTCTGCCTTTCAAATAAATAAATCTTAAAAGTCACAGTCTTGCATGATTTGGCAAAAGTGGATCAGTCCGAGGCCCAGCGGTCCTGTTTGAGCATGTCATGTGGTAGATCCAATGTAAATGGTATCCTGAAACAGTTTCACTGGGTCCTCCAAAGACTAAAGATGCTCATGTCTTTCAGAGGATAGACCAGTCTGATGTGTGTTTGCTCTGTTTATAGCTTATGTGCTTTGAGGTCACTGTTCACAAACTTTCTTTAATGGGGTGTACAAGTGGATGGAAGACTGCTGTCTCATCCCCTCTGGAACTCAGCCTTTCAAGTAAATAAGTGGATCTTTTAGAAATTGTCCTAAAATTGAGTTACATGATAATTTTTAAGTGATATCTTAGAGTTTTGTGCCTTTTTTTTTTTTAAGAAAGAATGCCAGAGATACCTTCCATCTGCTGGTTGATTCCCCAGATGCCTGCAACAGCCAGGGCTACAGCAGGTCAAAGTGAGGAGCCAGGAACTCCATTTGGGTCTCCCACATGGGTGGAAGGAATCCAAGCTCTTGGGCCATCATCTGCTGCGTCCCAGGCACATGAGCAGGAAGCCTGATTGAGGGACACAGTAGCTGGGACTCAAGCCAGTGCCCCATGTGGCATGTGGGTCACCCAAGTGCCCTCGCCAGTGCTTACATGTTTTACAAGAAATAGGCAACATTATCAAATTTCCTGGTTTTTTAATAACAGCTCTTAACAATGGAGGATACAAGGTTCCTTATTAGCCATAGGAATCTAAGGCCTGGGACCTTTAAGTAAATCCTCTGTGGTTATTCACTTACACTCGTTGGCCAGTCAGGATCCTTTCATTTTTACTTTCCAAGCGTCACGTGTGAAATGACACGTTAGCGTGAATTGGTGTGTTTGAAGAGATTGTGGAGGTCGGCCACAGCCTCATTCCTCAGAGAAGCCATCGACGGGGTCATTCATCTCTGTCACAAGTCTCTTCGTTCTTAACCTTTTTTTTTTTTCTTGCTCACAACTGTGCCTCGGGCTACCATAATGACTTTGCTTTTTGCTTTTCTCACTGGTATTACACGGAGTTAAAGTGATGTTTAACTCCAAGTAACAGGACAGCTGTTGTGGTTCTGTTAGCAGGGATGGGTGAAAGAATTCACATGAGACAGAGGGCAGGGTAAGCAAGGTAGCAAGGTTTAATGGGGTGGGGCATCCATCAGAAAGGATGGGCACCTCTCCAGACAGCCTCCCAGAGTGCCAGTCACTCAGACTGGGGAGAGCAAGGCTACGTGATTTAGTGGAGAGAATGCATGTGGCAGGCCAGGCGGGCGGCTCAGCAGAGAGCTGAGAGCTGAGCACGCAGTCTGTATTCAGACCAGGGCTCCTAAGGGAAAGGGTCGGGTTCTCCTGCTGTTTCTCCTTCCTTGCCTCCTCCTCCTCCTCCCCCCCCTCCTCCTCCAGGACAGAGGTTTGCTGAGTGTGAACAGGCGAAACTCCTCCCTAGGTGTCACTACTCAGTGCTGTCAGACGGGGGAGCCCACCTGGCACCGGGCCCAGGAGCTCCCCCCAGGGTGCCTTCCGTGGGGTGGGCCGGGACGGCTGTGCTGCCCAGTGATGAGGCTGGGTGACCACTGGTGCTGAGCAGAGGGTTCTCCTGGGGAGCTCTCGCGGGGGGAAGGCTGAGGCCGCCTGTGAAGTTGTCGGGGTCTGGGCAGGACTTGGCAGTGTAACCTGCCGGGCAGCTCCCAAGGTGAGCTCCTGCAGAGGCTGTGCTTCCCTTAGGCCCGCTCCCCACACAGGCTCATTTCTAACGTCCCACCTAACAGTTCTGTTTTTCACATGTGGTTCTACATTTCAGGGTATTTAATGAAGAAAAGAAAGGAATCTGTAAGGACCCATTTTTCTATGAGGTATGAGCAATTTGTTTTTTTTAAGAAAATATTTATTTGAAAGGGAAAGCTAAAGAGAGGGAAGGAGGGTTCGAGAGATCTTCCGTCTGCTGGTTCGCTCTGCAAGTGCCTACAGGAGCCAGGATCTCCTGGGTCTCTCATGTGGGTGGCAGGAACCCAAGCACTGTGCCATCGTCTCCCAGGTGCATTAGTGGGGAGCTGGATCAAAAGTGCACGTTGGGGGCTGACGCTGGGGCATAGTAGGTTAAGCCTTCACCGCCGGCTTCCCATATGGGTGCCAGTTTGAGTCCTGGCTGCTCCACTTGCAATCCAGCTCTCTGCTGTGGCCTGGGAAAGCAGTGGAAGATGGCCCAAGTCCTTGGGCCCCTGCACCCTTGTGGGAGACCCAGAAGAAGCTCTTGGCTTCGGACTGGTGCAGCTCCAGCCATTGTGGCCATTTGGGGAGTAAACCAGGGGATGGAACACCTTTCCCTGTCTCTCCTCTCACTGTCTGTAACATACCTATAAAATAAATAAATAAATTACAAAAAATAAAAAAGACGTGCACGTTATCTGGGACTGGAACCAGGCACTGATATGAGATACAGGAGTCGCGGGTGACAACTTACTGCACCACAATGCCTGCCCATATTTGTGGTGTTTAACACAATCTAAAATTGTGGGTTTTTAAAAGTCAGGTTTTTTGTGGTTTATTTATATACACTAAATTTCATTCTCTGAAGGTAGAGTGCTATCAGGTTTTGCTGTTGTTGTTTTTTAAGATTTATCTATTTATTTGAAAGAGTTATAGGGAGAGATGGAGAAAGATAGATCTCCCATCTGCTGGTTAACTCCCCAGATGGCCATACTGGCCAGGGGTGGGCCAGGCTGAAGCCAGGAGCCAGGGGCTTCATTTGGGTCTCCCACATGGTTGTAGGGGCCGGATACTTGGGCCATTTTCTGCTGCTTTTCCCAGGCCACGAGCAGGGAGCCAGTTTGGAAGTGGAGCAGCCAGGACACTAACACAGGTGGCAACTTCACCTGCTATGCCACAATGCCGGCCCCAGTTCTGTGAGTTTTAACAAATGCATTAGGTTGGCCGGCGCCGTGGCTCACTAGTCCCTGTTGGGGCGCCAGATTCTGTCCTGGTTGCTCCTCTTCCAGTCCAGCTCTCTGCTGTGGCCTGGGAGGGCAGAGGAGGATGGCCCAGGTGCTTGGGTCCCTACACCCACATGGGAGACCGGGAGGAAGTACCTGGCTCCTGGCTTTGGATCGGCGCAGCGTCGGCCGTAGTGGCCATTAGGGGAGTGAACCAATGGAAGGAAGACCTTTGTCTCTGTCTCTCTCTCTCTCTCTCTCTCACTGTCTAACTCTGCCTGGCAAAAAATAAATAAAAAATGAACTAGGTCATGTAACTACCCCTATAATCAAGATACAGAGTGTTTCTATTATCTACAAGAATTTTCTTTGTATCCACTTATAGTGGGTGCTTTTTCCTGCCCCTAGTCCTTGGCAGCCACTAATCTATTTTCTCTTTTTATTTATTTATTTAGCCTTTTCCAGAATGCGATACAAATAAAATCATAGAGCCCTTAGGGTCTGGCTTCATTTCATTAGTCTAATGTGTTTGAAATTGATCTGTGTCGTAGTGCGCATCCTTTTTACTGTGTTCCGTTGTGTGGATGGACTGCAGGTCAGTTATCCATTTGCCAGTGGAAGCATTGTGGCTGCTTCTAGTGTTCAACAATTACAAATAAAGTTCTGTAAACACATATTAATTAGGCATCTGATACGTGCGAAGTGTTCCATATGTAAACTCCCCACAGTTGGGGTCATAAATCTGCATCCATGAAATAATTACTGATGTAAGATGAATCGCATGTTAAAAGACAAATAGGTGGGGAGAAAATGTCATGAATACTAATGGTTAATTCTGTGTGTACCTCTATCTATGTATATAAGGAGCTCTTAAAAATAAGCAGAACTAGGGATTAAGAAGAATAGGCAGAGGACACAAGTAGGTAATCAGGAAATTACAGGTATGCTTATCCCTTAAAAAACTCAAGAAGTAAATATATCCCAGTATATTTTTTCATATTTCCCTGTTATATTCTTTTCACTTGATTTATTTTTATTTTTATTTTTATTTTTATTTTTATTTTTATTTCTTTTTGACAGGCAGAGTGGACAGAGAGAGAGAGACAGAGAGAAAGGTCTTCCTTTTTGCCGTTGGTTCACCCTCCAATGGCTGCCACGGCCGGTGCACCGCGCTGATCCGATGGCAGGAGCCAGGTGCTTCTCCTGGTCTCCCATGGGGTGCAGGGCCCAAGCACTTGGGCCATCCTCCACTGCACTCCCTGGCCATAGCAGAGAGCTGGCCTGGAAGAGGGGCAACCGGGACAGAATCCGGCACCCCGACCGGGACTAGAACCCGGTGTGCCGGCGCCGCAAGGCGGAGGATTAGCCTAGTGAGCCGCAGCGCCGGCCTCTTTTTGCTTGATATTTATTATTTCCCAGGGCCACTGATCCAGGGTACCACCAACGAGGCGGCTTAAAATAGCAGAAGTTTGTCTCCCACTGTGTTTTTTCTAAAGATTTATTTATTTATTTGAGAGGCAGAGTTACAGAAGGGGAGACAGAGATCTTCAGTCTGCTGGTTCACTCCCCAAATGGCCGCAACGGCCAGGGTTGGGCCAGGACAAAGCTAGGAGCTTAAGCTTCGTCTGGGTCTCCCACATGGGTGGCAGGGGCCCAAGTCCTTGAGCCCTCTTCTGCTTTCCCAGGTGCATTAGCATCAGAAATGGAGCAGCCAACACTCAAACCAGCACCTATATGGGATGCTGGAGTTGCAGGCAGTGGCTAACCCACTACACCACACCACCAGCCCCTCTGCCACAGTTTTGGAGACTGGAATGTAAGCAAGGTGTGGGCAGGACCATGAACCTGCTGAAGGCTTTAGGAAAGGTTCCTGCCATCTGCCATCCTTCCCAGTTCCATGTGATTGCCAGCAGTCTTTGGTGCTGCCTAGCTTTTATGGCTGCGCAACTCCACCTGCCTCCCTGGGAACATAGCTTTATCCCTTTGTCTGCATGTTTTTGTGTCTGTAAGTCTTTCTCTCTTTTTAAAAGATTTATTTTACTTATTTGAAAGGCAGAAGTAGAGACAGAGAGAGGTCTTCCATCTGCTGATTCACTCCTCAAATGGCCACAATGACCTGGGCTAGGCCAGCCTGAAGCCAGGAGCTAGGAGCTTCTTCCAGATCACCCACTTGGGTGGTGCAGGGGTCCAAGCAGTTGGGCCATCCTCCACTGCTTTTCCAGGTGTATTAGTGGGGAGCTGCGTCAGAAGTGGAGTAGCCAGGACCCAAAGCAACATCCATATAGGATACCAGCTCAGCGGGCCAGGGCTTTAACCGGCTGTGTCACAGTGCCAGCTCCTGTAAGTCTATCCATATAAGAACAGAAGTCATTGGATTTGGGGCCTGTCCTAATCCTAATTAATCCTTATCTTGATTACATTTGTGAAGACTTGCCAAATAAGGTCACATTCACAGGAACTAAAGATTAAGACTTCAGGAAATCTTTTCAGGTGACACAATTCAACCTATAACAGTCCTCAGACCTCAAGAACCTAGAGATTAGAATAACCTAGTGTCCTTAGCCCTCCAAACTTGGTAGCTAAATGTTTCAAAATCCAGACTAAGGTGGGGCTGGCACTGTGGCACAGTAGGTTAATCCTCTGCTGTGGCCTGGGAAAACAGTGGAAGATGGACCAAATGCCTGGGCCCCTGCACCCATGTGGGAGGCCCGGAAGAAGCTCCTGGCCTCGGATCGGCTTAGCTCCTGCCGTTGTGGCCATTTGGGGAGTGAACATGCGGGTGAAAATCCTCTCTCTGTCTCTCCCTATCACTATCTGTAATTCTACCTCTCAAATAAATAAAATCTTAAAAAAAAAAAAACCCAGACTAAAAAGTGTTCAAATAACGAGCAAGATTTGTCTTTAGTGAGCGTGTTAGGTGCTGTTCACCTTTGTTAGTGATCAAATGTATTAACCATGAGAATATTCATTGTGTTGACAGAGGTGATAGAAATGTGAACAGTAGATAGGATATATTTGATAGGCAATTTGGGGCCATTGATGTGATTTCCGGTATCCACCTTAAGATAATTCCAGGATATCTGTTATTAGTTGCTTCCTAGAGCAAATAACTGGAAGCTATCCACAAGTCGTACTCTGAAATTCATTCTGAAATGCCAGAGCTGTGGTCCTAGCTAGTCAGAGAATATTTCATAACATGGGAAGAGTGTCACCATATAAAACCACTAGACTATTTTTTTATTAAGCAAACTTAAGTCTGTGATACTTAAAAATTATATTTTCTTTTGTATAGGTTAATACAAGGTTTACTTTTTTTTTTTTTTTAAGATTTATTTATTTATTTGAAAGAGTTACAGAGAGGCAGAGAGAGAGAGAGAGAGGTCTTCCATGTTCGCTCCCCAAATGGCCACAACGGCTGGAGCTGGGCTGATCTGAAGCCAGGAGCTGGGAGCTTCTTCGGGTCTCCCGTGAGGGCCCAATGAATTGGGCCATCTTCTGCTTTCCCAGACCACAGTAGAGAGCTAGATCAGAAGAGAAGCAGCTGAGACTCCAACTGGCACCCATTTGGGATACCGGCACTACAAGTGGCAGCTTTACCCACTATGCCCAGTGCAGACCCCAAAATATACATTTTCCATTCAAATAAATTTTGAATCTCTTTGCCTGGAAAAAGATCTGGCAGAAATAGATGAACCAGGCTAATAATGGTAGTGATTATCCATGGGCTATAGAATTACAGATTCTTTTTAAATCTTTTTAAAATTTTTTAAATTTTTATTTGAAAGAGTTATAGAGAAAGGCAGAGAGAGAAGTCTTCCTTCCATTGGTTCACTCCCCAAATGGCCAGAGCTGAAGTGATCTGAAGCCAGGAGCAGGAGCTTCTTCAAGGTCTCCCACGTGGGTGCAGGGACCCAAGGACTTGGGCCATCCTCCACTATTTCCCAGGCCATAGCAGGAAGCTGGATCGGAAGAGGAGCAGCAGGGACTGGAACCAGTGCCCATGTGAGATTCTGGGGCTCTAGACCGGGGCTCTAACCTGTTTCTCCCCAGTGCCAGCCCCCAGATGATTTTTTTTTTAAAAAAGATTTATTTTACTTGAAAGTCACAGTCACACAGAGAGAAAAGAGGCAGAGAGAGAGAGAGAGGTCTTCCATCCACCAGTTCACTTCCCAGATGGCCACAACAGCCGGAGCTGCGCCGATCTGAAACCAGGAGCCAGGGGCTTCCCACAGATCTCTCACATGGGTGTCGGGGCCCAAGGACTTAGGCCATCTGCAGCTGATTTCCCAGGTCACAGCAGAGAGCTGGATTGGAAGTGGAGCAGCTGGGTCTCATACTGGCACCCATATGGGATGCCAGCACTGCAGGTGGCAGCATTACCCGCTATGCCACAGCACCGGCCCCCCAAGATGAATTTTTAAAATCTTTTAGCTGTCTTTTCAAACTTTCCTACGTTAAAACATGTATTGCAATTGGAAAGAAAAGATACATATTTCTTATAAACTGATAAAGTTCTACAGATTCATAGTACTGTCAGAAGAAGGGGCAGTATTTAGTAAAGTGCTAATTTTATGGTCCATGGTAGGAAATGCCATGTGGTTAGAGGAAAAGGGCATCTGTGTGGTGTTCTCCAGGCCAGGTGCATTGCAGGTAGGTCTGGAGGTGTGGACAGATGGAAGAGCTACATTTTCTAAACATGAGGAGTAACTTAAAACATGCCGCATTCACATTCTCTCTTCTAGTCAACTCGGATACAGTGCTCTGTGCTCAAATATTTGTACGTAGATATGTTTATGTATGAGTATAACATTGCTTGACATCTGTTCTTAACAGGCTGATGTTCAAGTGCAGTTAGTCAGCAAAGGCCAACCAAATCCTTTGAAAAATATCCTAAATGAAAATGACGTTGTATTCATTGTGGAAAAAGTGGTAAGTAGTGCTTGGGCTTTATGATCATTTATTTATTAATTTGAGATTCATTTATTTGTTTGAAAGGCAGAGTTAAGAGACAGCGTCCATCTGCTGGTTCACTCCCCAAATGGCCACAAGACCCGGACTGAGGAGGCTGAAGCTAGGAACCAGCAGCATCATCTAGGTATCCCATGCAGGTGGCAGGGGCTAAAGCACTTGGCCCATCTTCTGCTGCTTTCCCAGGCACATGAGCAGGGAGCTGGATCAGAAATGGAGCAGCCAGGACTCCAGCTGGTGACCATATGGAATGCTGACATTGCAGGCAGCAGCTTTTTTTTTTTTTTTTTTTTTTTGACAGGCAGAGTTATAGACAGAGACAGACAGAGAGGTCTTCCTTTTTGCTGTTGGTTCACCCTCCAATGGCTGCCGTGGCCGGCGTGCTACAGCCCGGCGCATTGCGCTGATCTGAAGCCAGGAGCCAGGTGCTTCTCCTGGTCTCCCATGCAGGTGCAGGGCCCAAGCACTTGGGCCATCCTCCACTGCACTCCCTGGCCACAGCAGAGAGCTGGCCTGGAAGAGGGGCAACCGGGACAGAATCCGGTGCCCCGACCGGGACTAGAACCTGGTGTGCCGGCGCCGCAAAGCGGAGGATTAGCCTATTGAACCACGGCGCCAGCCTTTTTTTTTTTCTTTTTCTTTTTCTTTTTCTTTTTTTTTTTTTTAAATGGCAGAGTGGACAGTGAGAGAGAGACAGAGAGAAAGGTCTTCCTTTGCCATTGGTTCACCCTCCAATGGCTGCCATGCACCACGCTGATCCGATGGCAGGAGCCAGGTGCTTCTCCTGGTCTCCCATGGGGTGCAGGGCCCAAGCACTTGGGCCATCCTCCACTGCACTCCCTGGCCACAGCAGAGAGCTGGCCTGGAAGAGGGGCAACCAGGACAGAATCCAGCGCCCCGACCGGGACTAGAACCCGGTGTGCCGGCGCCGCAAGGCGGAGGATTAGCCTAGTGAGCTGCGGTGCCGGCTTAGGCAGCAGTTTAACCTGCTGCACCACAGTGCTGGCTCCAGTTCTTTAATTCTTTATTTAAACAAATTTGCTTCGTTAAAAATAATCTCAAACATACTCATTGTTTTATGAGCATTAGTGAATTTATTTTTGACAGGCAGAGTTAGAGTTATAGACAGTGAGAGAGACAGAGAGAAAGGTCTTCCTTCCATTGGTTCACCCCCCAAATGGCTGCTACGACTGGTGCAGCGCTGATCCGAAGCCAGGAGCCAGGAACTTCCTCCTGGTCTCCCATGTGGGGGCAGGGACCCAGGCACTTGGGCCATCCTCCACTGCCCTCCCGGGCCACAGCAGAGAGCTGGACTGGAAGAGGAGCATCTGGGACTAGTACCCGGCATCCCAACTGGGACTAGAACCCAGGGCGCCACAGGCGGAGGATTAGCCAAGTGAGCCATGGCGCTGGCCGCATTAGTGAATTTTTTAGGAATAAGTATTGTGCTAAAAGAAATATAATATGAGCCACTGTAATTTGGAATTTTCTGATGGCCTCATTAAGAAAAAGAAACAAATGAAAATATCATTAAGTCAATAAAATTGGCTTTTTTATTTTGTTTGCAGTTCTAAGAATTTTAGCACAGAAATTTTTACAATCACCACCTCAGTCAGACTACAGACCAGCTCCATCTCATCAGAAAACTTGTTTGTGGTATACCTGTGTAATCGTAGCCCCTCCACCTGCTGACCCTGGCAACCGCTGAGCTCGTCTCCTTCCCTGTAGTTCTGTGTTTTCCGGAAAGCCATGCATGGAATCACACAGTGTGGAACCCTTTGAGGCTGACTTCTTCCCTTAGTGTAACACCCACATTGCTGAGTATGTCAGTAGTTCATTTCTCTTCATTTCTCAGTGGTTCTCCTTGGTATGGATGTGACACAGTTTACACAGGAGGACTTAGAATCGTGCCTACTACATGGTACTGCTCCGGAAAGGCTAACTCCCATAGTTACTGGCTTGGCTCGGCTCGGCTCTGTTAACTGTTTAATAAGTGCATAGGTATCGTGTAATATAAATGAGTGCTGATAGCCCTAAGAGGAATAGAGACAAACAGGAAGGGCTGTTTACCTGTGGTGGTTGTTGAGAAAGATCTTCCAGTTTGGGGAATGGAGACACCAACAAGGTGCAGGAGTCAGATGCTTGCCTTACCAGTGTCCATAAGGTCAGTGTCTCTTTATAGGACAATAGAAATGCTTCTGTTGGCACGATCTGTTAGCACAAACCCAGTTTGTGGCTGTGGTGCTTGCCATAAGCCAATTATCTGTGCTAAGGGTGGAGAAGTGAGTAGTTACTTTGCAGTTATTTCCTAGTGTACTGAAGAGCTGGCTGCCATCTTAAGTGATCTTATATTTGGCTAAGTAATAAAACATTTTTAAAAGCCTTTAGAAAAGGAAGAAACAAGCCATGTTGAAGAACTGCAGTCAGAAGAAACTGCTATTTCTGATTTTTCTACTGGTGAAAATGTTGGACCGCTTGCCTTGCCAGTTGGGAGAGCCAGGTAAGTTTTTCCTTAGCGTGGAGGTGGGGTGGAGGGTTCTCATGCACACTGGGGGATAGCATCCAGCCTCTCTCCCTCCAGCTCCTTCCCCAGATGTGTCCACCCAGCTCTTCTGGAATGTCCCATCTGTGTCCCGGACACGGGTATCTCCCTTTTCTGCCCAGTCATTGTTGCTGTATCTTAGTTGTTTTCCCTGTTTCCAGTCTGGATCCTCTCTAGGCATTCTTCCTTCTGACTGTAGGGTTTTTCAAACGGGTAGACAGGAGATGGGAGCAGACATTCTAAGAGCACTGGATAGCTGTGCGCTCCCACTTTTATTTAGAGGGTACCAGCAAGTCTACAGTCAGCAGGCATGTAGGCAAGGTTATACATCAACTGAAGGATTTGGGAAAAGGAATTCGGTCTGGTAGTCTAAGATAGGGATTAGAACTGTGTTGTAAATCTTTGGAGACAGGTCCATTTAGATGCTTGTGCAAACTTACAAATTCCTGAAAATACCCCAGGTACCAATTAAGTTCCATTAGCCCCCTGCTGCTCCCACTGGCACATTCCTTTGGGTGGGTGTGCCCATGCCCAGCCTGTTTTGGCTTGAGCAGAAACTGCGGCCATGCCTCTAATTTCCAGGGGGGTGGGGGAGGGTGTTTGCCTCCCTGAGAGGCATTTATGCAGCATCTCTACACTGGCTACCAGAGGGATCTTTATAAAATTAAAGGCTGATTATGTTGCTTCCCTGCTTAAAAATCCTGTAGTGGTTCTTCATTGCCTTTGTGATAAAACCCAGACTCCATATGAGTGACACATAGGAGCCTTCCCTTTTTGGCCCCAGTGGTCCTTCCCTAGGGTTGGGACTGTACTCAGTGGCTGCTGGAAATATGCAGGAGTAGTTTTCTCTTTTTTTAAGATTTGGTTTAGATCTGACGCTGGCTTTTTGGGTAAAGCCGCTGCCTACAATGCCAGCATCCCATATGGGTGTTGGTGTGCCAGGATAGGATGCTCCACTTTTTTTTTTTTTTTTTTTTGGAAAGGCAGAGTTAGGCAGAAAGAAAGGTCTTCCTTTCGTTGGTTCACCCCCAAATGGCCGCTACTGCCGGCGCACTGTGCTGATCCGAAGCCAGGAGCCAGGTGCTTCCTCCTGGTCTCCCATGTGGGTGCAGGGCCCAAGGACTTGGATCATCCTCCACTGCCTTCCCGAGCCACAGCAAAGAGCTGGACTGGAAAAGCAGCAACGGGGACGGAATCCAGCACCCCGACCAAGACTAGAACCCGGGGTGCTGACACCACAGGCGGAGGATTAGCCTAGTGAGCCGTGGCGCCGGCCTAGGATGCTCCACTTCTGATCCAGCTTCCTGCTGGTACACCTGGGAGGGTTCCCGGCTTTGGAAGCATAAAGTTATGGAGAGAGAGGGAGAGACCAAGAGATCTTCTATCCACCGGTTCACTTCTAATGGCTGCAATGGCCAGGGCTAGGGCAGGCCAAAGCCAGAAGACAGGAGCTTCATCAGGGTCTCCCAGGTGGATGCAGGGACCTAAGCACTTGGGCCATTTTCCACTGCTTTCCCAAGTGCATTAGTAGGGAGCTGGATTGGAACAGGAGCAGCCAAGGCTTGAACCAGCACTCCTTCATGTGGGATGCTAGTGTTGCAGTCAATGGCTTAACCTGCTGTGCCACAATGTCGGCCCCATTTCTGTTTTTGTTTTTTGTTTTTTTTCCCCTTAGGATTTATTTGTTTGAAAGGTATAGTGACAGAGATCTTCATCCATTGGTTCACTCCTCAAATGCCCACAATGGCTAGCACTGGGCCAAGCTGAAGCTAGGAGCCTGAAACTCCATCTTGATCTCCCACATGGGTGGTAGGGGCCCAAGTACCTGCATTGTTGCCCACTGCCTTCTCACATTAGCAGGAAGCGGGATTGGGAGCAGAGCGACTGGTACCCTGGCACTGTGATAAGTTGTGCAGGCATTGCAAGCAGTGGCTTAACCTCTTGTCCCACAATCCCCAACCTGATGGGGGAGTATTTTCAGTTGGTGAAATGACTGAGGGGAGCCATTGGCATTTGGCGGCCTGTGCCTGACTGGCAAGTATCCTGTCCTGTAGTGCATGATCCCGCCCAGTGAGGAATGACTCTGCCTAGCACGCCAGTGGGGCGGCTCTTGGAACTCCCGATGCCTGTATCTGTCTCCCCACTGTGTGGCCATGTGTAGAACCCTCTGCCCTACGTCCAAAACCAAAGAGGCCTTGCCATCAGAGAGTACTGGAGTTGTATAACGCTGTATAATAGCATTGTAGAACAACAGCCACTGCGGTGTTCACAGAGTGACTTTGGTTTGTTTTGCGCCATAGAAGCTTCAGAAGTGCTTAGTTTTTTTAATGCAGCTGCATTAGCCATCTCCTTCGGAGCTTCTTGCTTGTCCGTCGCGTTTGGCCTGTGTCCTTACTCCGCGTCTGTGCTGGCTCCTCCAGCCGGTGCTGGTTTGCACAGTCCCTGTGCTTGTTCCCCTGCTCGCCATTCCTTCCTGCTGTTCAGACCTTCCTTCTGGGATTATCGTACTTCCTTTTTGAAATAAAATCCCTTCGAAATTCCCTCCCTGAACATCTGTTGGTAATAAATTCAGTTTTCATCTCCTTGAAAAATACAAGCGTAAACTGCATTTTTCAGTAACTTCTAATTTTGGTGCACAAGTTCTTTCAGACTTACAAGAAGTTACAAGAATAGTCCAGGGGCTGGCGCCGCGGCTCAATAAGCTAATCCTCCACCTGCGGCGCCGGCACACCGGGTTCTAGTCCCAGTTGGGGTGCCGGATTCTGTCCCGGTTGCTCCTCTTCCAGGCCAGCTCTCTGCTGTGGTCCAGGAGTACAGTGGAGGATGGCCCAGGTCCTTGGGCCCTGCACCCGCATGGGAGACCAGGAGGAAGTACCCGGCTCCTGGCTTCAGATCAGCGCAGTGCACCATGCTGTCCACTCTGCCTGTCAAAAAAAAGAATAGCCCAGGAACGGCTGTGTACTGCGGCCCAGATTCACCAGTTGTCAACGTTTGCTGTGTGTGCATCTCATTCTCTCTTCCTGTTTCACTCTTTGTGTGATTGTGTCTGTTTTTATATATGCAAAGTTATTTGTAGTTACATATGTGTATGTGTACATTTTATAGATACTTAAAACTATGGGATATAGAAGATGTTACTTTAGAATGTTCATGAAAATATGCATTGTAAAAAACTGCATAGATTTCAAAAATTTTTTGTACCAAAACAATCTTAAAAAATTTTTTTTAAATTTACTTCATTTATTTGAAAGAGTGAGAGAGACAGAGATCTCTCATCCACTGGTTCACTCTTCAAATGCCTGCAATAGCTAGAGCTGGGACAGGCCAAAACCAGGAGCTACAAAACTCAATCTAGGTTTCCTGTGTGGGTGGCAAGACACCCAGCCACTTGAACCATCACATAATGCCTCCCAAGTTGTACATTAGCGGGAAGCTGGAATTGAGAGCCAAGCCAGGACGTGGACCTGTGCGTTCCGGTGTGGGATATGGGTATCCAGCTGGCATCCTAACTACTGGGCCAGATTTTTACTCTCAACTTGGGTTTTCTTTTTTATATATTTGAAAGGCTGAGAGAGAGAGAGAAACAGAGATCCTCCATCTGCTGATCCACTTCCCAGATGCCCACATTAGCTGGGGCTGGGCCAGGCCAAAACCAGGAGCCAAGAACTTGATCTGGGTGTCCCACGTGAGTGGCAGGGACCCACGGGTCTGGCCCATCACTTACTGCCTTCCAGGCTGCTCATCAGCAGGAAGCTTGATTCTGAGGCAGAGCCAGGAATCAGACCCAAGAACTGAGACATGGGATGTGGGTGTCCCAGGTGGCTTCGGAACAGTTGTACCAAATGCCGCCAGGCTTACCTTTTAGTTCCATTTCCCATGAACTATACCATCGTACACACACATACAATACAGGTGTTCCTGCATATGTACAATACATGTAACTATTATATGTGTATATGTATGCATATAGAAATATACATAAGTGTTTTTTAAATGAAGTCTTGACAGTGTATTAGAGACTTTATATTCTTTTATCTCCAAATACTTCACCATGTAGTTCATGAGAACAGGTGCATTCTCTTACATAACAGCAGAACAATGATAAAAATCTAGAAATGCAACATTGTTAGAATACTGTTACTAATTTGGAGCCCATATTGAAATTTCCTTAACTGTCCCGGTGCCGCTATTTTTCTTTCTAGTTCGCTTGTGTTCTTTTCGACAGGCAGAGTGGACAGTGAGAGAGAGAGACAGAGAGAAAGGTCTTCCTTTGCCGTTGGTTCACCCTCCAATGGTCGCCGCGGCTGGCGCGCTGCGACCTGCGCACCGCGCTGATCTGATGGCAGGAGCCAGGTGCTTCTCCTGGTCTCCCATGCAGGTGCAGGGCCCAAGCACTTGGGCCATCCTCCACTGCACTCCCTGGCCACAGCAGAGAGCTGGCCTGGAAGAGGGGCAACCGGGACAGAATCCGGCGCCCCGACCGGGACTAGAACCCGGTGTGCCGGCGCCGCAAGGCGGAGGATAAGCCTAGTGAGCCGCGGCGCCGGCCCCCTGTGCCTATTGATTGGCTCCTGCTTATCTCAGACTCTGCTGCTTCTCTGATCCCCAGCACTTGCCATCCTGAGCTTCCTGCTTGCAGTAGCTCCAGTGCTTGCTCTCTCACTGTTTCTTGTGTGCTTCTTGATTTTTCTGGTGAGCTCTTTTTGTTTCTCTCCTCTGGGTGAAGTACATATTTCTTTGCTTTTTGCTACTTCTCACTTTCTGTGAAACCCTTTATTTTTTTAGAAGCAAATGACAGATCAGCAGCCTCACCTACAGTTTGATCTTCTCCCTTGCGTTTCCAAGGCAGTTAATTGGACTGTACACCATGGCTCACAACCCTAATATGACCCATTTGAAGATTGATCGGCCGGTTACTGCCCTTCCTCCTCTTTGGGCAAGATGCGACAGTTCAGATCCTGAAGGTACCTGTTGGCTAGGAGCCGAGCTTGTCACGACAAGCGACAGCATTACAGGCATTGTCCTGTACGTGGTCACGTGTAAAGGTGGGTGCTCACTCTTGCGTGTGTATTCTGTGTAGTTACTGTTTTGTGGCTTTTGCTGAGGGAAGGGTAAGCAGTGGAACTTCGGTTAATCAGGATGAATCTCCTCTGGTATATAACTTTCAACCTATAGGAAGCATTCCAGAGGCAGAAACAGATCTCTAGAAATCTGGCCTGGAGTTTACACTTGTTTTGTTTGGGTGTTGTTTGATTGATTGTAGTTTTCATTGGAAAAGAAAAAACTGAATATGATGACAATATAACTCTTTATTTAGTTGTGTTTATTTGAAGGGCAGAGAGATGAACAGATTTCCCAACTGCTGTTTCACTCCCCAAATGCCCACAAGAGCCAGGGCTAGTCCAGGCCATATCCAGGAGCTGGGAACTCAATTCCAGTTTCTCATGTGGGTGGCAGGGACCCAATGCTTGAACCTTTACCTCCTGCTTCCCAGAGTGTGCGTTAGGAAGCTGGACTCAGGTGTGGAGCTGGGACTAGAACCTAGGCACTCTGTCACAGGATGCATCTCAACCACTGTGCCAAACAGCTGCCCCTTAGTGACTCCCTTAGTATGAGTGGTGGTATTTATCCTTGTTCTAGTTTCATTCTTTTATAAACATTCATCTCTGAAGTTTAACTTCAGGGGCCGGCGCTGTGGCGCAGCAGGTTAATGCCCTGGCCTGAAGTGCCAGCATCCCATATGGGTGCCAGTTCTAGTCCCAGATGTTCCACTTCCGATCCAGCTCTCTGCTATGGCCTGGGATAGCAGTGGAAGATGGCCCAAGTCCTTGGACCCCTGCACCCACGTGGGAGACCTAGAAGAAGCTCCTGGCTTCAGATCAGCACAGTTCCGGCCATTGAGGCCATCTGGGGAGTGAACCATCAGATGGAAGACCTCTCTCTCTTTCTCTCTCTTTCTCTCTCTCTCTCTCTCTTTCTCTCTCTCTCTCTCTTTCTCTCTCTTTCTCTCTCTTTCTCTCTCTTTCTCTCTCTTTCTCTCTCTCTCTTTCTCTCTCTCTCTCTTTCTCTCTCTCTCTCTTTCTCTCTCTGCCTCTCCTCTCTCTGTGTAACTGACTTTCAAATAAATAAATAAATCTTAAAAAAAAAGTTTAACTTCAACAGTTATTAGTGTTGTGGTACCCTCAAAATTTAGATTATAATTTCTAGCTTTCTCTAATAGTGTGATTTTGAATTGTATCTTTAAGTTTTTTCTTTTTTTTCATGTCCTTTAGCTGATAAAAATTATTTCATAAATCTTGAAAACCTAAAAAATTTGCACAAGAAAAGGCATCATGTGTCTGCTGTGAGTATTACCTTTCTCCTCTTACTGTTTTCTTTAACTATTGTTTACCTGTGTTTGTAGTTTAAGGATCTTTTCATCCCTAATGTGATCAGATACTTTTCTGTAGTATCAAATTGTTTGCATTTATTTTCATGTCAGCTAATGATTAAAAATACAGTCATCCATTGTCCATGGAGATTGGTTCTACTACCTTCCATCGTGAATACCAAACTCTTATGCTGATCACTTACAGAAAATGGCATATAACCTGTGCACATCCTTCTGGATATATTAAATCATCTCTGGGTTGCTTACAATGCAATGTAAATGTTATGTAGATAGCTGTTATACTGTGTTGTTCAGGGGATACTGACAAGAAAGATGTCTGTACTTGTTTAATATTGATAGAATTTGAGTCCACAGATGCAGAACCCATGGATATGGAAAGCTAACTATATGCCTTCTTACCTTTAGCTAACCTTTGTGATTTAAAAGAATTGTCATATTTTTTCATTGGGATAAAAGCATGGAGTATGGTGTCTTCTTTTGGGACAAGAATCAAAGTGGCTTTTTGTTTTAATTTTTTGAATTTATTTGAACTGCAGAGAGGCAGATTGAGAGAGAGAGAGAGCTTCCACCTACTAGTTCACTGTCTAGATAACTGCAACAACCAGGGCTAAGCTAGGCCAAAGCCAGGAGCCTGAAACTCACTGCAGATCTGCATGTGGGTACATACCAAGTACTTGAGCCATTACTGCTGATTCCAGGGCGTGCACGAGAAGGAAGCTAGATAGGAAGCAGAGCCAGGACTTGAATCCGGACACTCAGACATGGGATGTGGGTGTCCCACACGGGACCTTGACCACTGGGCCAAACACCTGGCCATGTGCACAGCTCGCTCATGGTCTGCTGGCTGCACTGTTTTCAGGTCACAGCGAAAGGCTTCGCCCAGTATGAGCTATTTAAGTCCACCGCCTTGGATGAGACCTTTACCACATCACAAACTACAATCATTTTGGATATTTCCTGGAGTCCTGTGGACGAGATTCTTCAAAGCCCTCCACTCTCTTCGACTGCAGTTCTGGTAGGAGTGGACCTTAGTTTCTCACTAGGCCCATGAGGCCCCTCAAGGTTGGCTTGCTTACTTGAGTCTGGTGCTGTGTGCTTCCTGCCCCAGGAGTTACCTGGAGGTAACAACTCCGAAAGGCTGGCCTGGCCCTGAAATCTCACTAGGGTGCTCAGTGGAGGTTTGCCAGGCAAGCTGAGCCGTCAGTTGTCTACAGCTCTGTACTTCTGGGACCTAAGAATTTTCTAGAGACTAATAAAGTCTCTTGAGTGGGGAGTAACGTGAGTCATTGAAGTCTCTTCTCTGCTATCTTTAAGAGTGCGCGTGTTGGTCTCTGTGCTCAATAAGCACAGAAAAATGAAAACTACAAAATTACAGATACAGGAGGAGCTCAGCCATCTTCTTCTTCTTTTTTTTTTTTTTTTTGAATGTTTGTGCAGAAACTTGAATCACGTGAACAGCAACTTCCTCAGGGTGGTAGGACTGTTGATCATTATATTCATGCTCTTATTTTAATAGTAATTTATATATGGGGGTACTTCTAAAAGGCTGTGGAGAGCTGGAATGAAAAAACAACATTGTCCCCTGCGCATGGCTTTTCATAAGACACTCTGACTCTTCCCCTGGACCCTGAAGGCCCACGCCCATTGGCATTCACTTGTTTCCTTTTCCTTTTTTTTTTTTTTTTTTAAGGTCTTCAGTTTGTAACAAGGACAACACTCTGTTGGTTTAGTTAGGAGTCTAATCAACAGATTTATTGGGGGACTTCCTTTTGGTATGTGATAATGTCCAGTCATTATTGACTCTTGAGAGATATTTGTTCACATTTCTCCTGCCTGTCCCCCTGGAAGTTTCATGGGCAAGGGCAGGAGAGCCTGTGCCGAGGGCTTTGCTCCACGCAGCTGCCACTGGTCGGGGCGGAGAGAGGGTGCAGTGCTGGCGTGAATCTAGGTTGCTCTCTCGGGAAGGCAGGCTCTGCAGCCTCGCTGGGGAAGAGGTTCTAAATGAGATGTTGATTTCATTCCTCCATTCATTGGTGCTGTCTGAAATGGAATTTTTAATGTGTGGGTGATGTGACATGCAAGTGACCATGACCCTTAAACAGAGAAGCTGGGATGACTAGTGAGACTGACAGACTTTGGCTGCTTTTCAGAATATTAAAGTGGAGTCGGGAGAGCCCAGGGGTCGTCTGAACCATCTTCACAGAGAGCTGAGATTCCTCCTGGTGAGTATCCTGCTGCAGTTCCTGACTTGCAGTACATCAGGTTTCTGTGAGGATGTTTGCTTGCACCATTTTTTACTTTGTATTCTTTAAAGTTTCCTCTAAATGTTGTGTGGTTTATTTGATACTCTTGGCAGTTGGGCAGTCTTCTCTTACTTATGTGTTCTTCCTGTTAAAGCAGGGCTAGGGACCTTTTTTCTATCGTTTGGATCTTTATAACCTCATTTGCGGGCCTTACAAAATGATCAGCTTAAAAATCAGCTTGCTTGCCAGTGCCGCGGCTCAACAGTCTAATCCTCCGCCTAGCGGCACCGGCACACCGGGTTCTAGTCCTGGTCGGGGCGCCGGATTCTGTCCCAGTTGCCCCTCTTCCAGGCCAGCTCTCTGCTGTGGCCAGGGAGTGCAGTGGAGGATGGCCCAAGTGCTTGGGCCCTGCACCCCATGGGAGACCAGGAGAAGCACCTGGCTCCTGCCTTCGGATCAGCGTGGTGTGCCGGCTGCAGCGCACTGGCCGTGGCGGCCATTAGAGGGTGAACCAACGGCAAAGGAAGACCTTTCTCTCTGTCTCTCTCTCTCACTGTCCACTCTGCCTGTCAAAAAAAAAAAAATAGGTTGGGAAAAAAAAAGCTTACTAGAGACCTGCAGTTGCCTTGGCAGTTCCAGACCACATGATCAGGCAGTTCCAGACCACATGATTTTGCATGTCTCATATGGCCCTTGGGCCGAGCACTCTTCACCTCTGCTGTAAAGGGAGCATTAGTTGGTTGATAGTCTCTGATCTTCCCTGCCTTGCTACTGGGGTATTTGGTTTGTATTCATGAGTAGTTCTCCTCTTTCCTGGTTGGTCAGCTGCCATTTTACTCCCAAGTTTAATGTTCTGCTGATATATGGGGATTTTGATTGATACTAAAGGTTAATGAGCATTTGTTTTAATAATTTTGTGTGTCAGTAATTTGGGCTCAAGTCTATGTATTGAATCTCAAAGGGATTCCTCATTTTAGTGCAGTAGAGACTCCGTTAGTTTGGTATACAAAGCAAACTAGGATCCACTCAGTGTCCTACTTATGTCTTTTTATAACAGCTTTGTTGAAATATATATTTCACCCCATTACATTTACCCATATTAAGTGTGCAATTTCAGTTTTTTAGTGTATTTACTAAGTTGCACAGCTTTCACCATATCTAATTTTAGAACATTTTCATCCCCTCCAGCTAACCCCCACTAGCCGCTTGCAGTCATTAATCTGTTTTCTGTAGTGCTTTGTTCCTTTTTTGTTGCCAAATAGCATTCCACTGCATGGACATACCACATTTGGTTAATCCATTCATTGGTTGATGAACATACTGTGAATATGTATTTACTTAGTTTTAAGATTTTTTTTTATTTGAAAGGCAGAGTTATAGAGAGAGGAGGGGAGAGAGAGAGAGAGAGGTCTTCCATCTGCTGGTTCACTCCCCAAATGTCTGCAATGGCTGGGGCTGGGCCAGGCTGAAGCCAAGAGCCCAGAGCTTCTTCTGTCCATCCCACATGGGTGCAGGGCCCTAAGTACAACTTGGGCTGTCCTCCTCTGCTTTCCCAGGCTCAGCAAGGAGCTGGATCAGAAGTGGAGCACCCGGGTCTCACTCAAATCAGCGCCTATGTGGAGTGCTGGTGAAGGCCTAACCCGCTACGCCACATCACCGGCCCCATGGCTGTTATGAATGATGCCATGAACACTGCTGTAGGAATGTCTCTGTGGATGTTTCACACCTCTGGAATGGAGTTGCTGGGTCATGTGGTGACTGAGTTCTGAGGAACTGCTGAGCTGTAACTGTTATCCACAGTGACTGCACCATTTTACATTTTTTTAAAGATTTAGTTATTTATAAGTCAGAGTTACAGAGTCAGAGAGAGATGTTCCATCCTCTGGCTCACTCTCCAAATGGCTGCAGCAGTCAGGGCTGGGTCAGGCCAGAGCCAGGAGCCTCATCTGGGTCTCTTGAGCGCCATGCATTCTCACAGTGGTCGTTTCCTGAGGATCTCTTCTGCACTGTGTGTCCTTCTTAACCAAAAGACCAGCGTCTTCAGGGCGTGCCCTGCCACTAGTCCTGACCCCTGTAGCACCTGTGCACGTGCACCGTCTTTGGAATGACACTGGCTGTGTATCCTGACACTGTTTGCTGACAGTGAGACCATGAGTGAGTGAGTGACTTTCTTGACCTCAGCAAGATGGAACAAAGCAAAGGTAAACAAAGTTTACCTCAGAATTGTTTTGTTGTTGTTTTTAAGATTTATTTATTTGAAAGGCAGAGAATTAGAGAGGCAGAGGCGAGAGAGAGAGTGAGAGAGAGAGAGATGAACCATCTGCTGGCCACAATGGCTGGAGCTGGGTTGATCTGAAGCCAGAAGCCTGGAGCTTCTTCTGGGTGCAGGGACCCAAGCACTGGGACCATCTTCCAATGCTTTTCCCAGGCCATAGCAGGGAGCTGGATCAGAAGTGGAGCAGCTGGGACTTGAACCAGCGCCCATATGGGATGCCCGCACTGCAGGCCAGGGCCTTAACCACTATGCCACAGCACTGGTCTCCCCCCGCACCCAAGAGTTTTGTTAGGATAACATACTACATATAAAGCACTTCTGCCATAGCTGGCAAGCGACAAACACTGTAAAATGTTAGCACAATTAATAATATTAAATGGATCCTTACTGATTAAACTGTGCTTTCTGCTGACGAAGTCTTTGGGCTTTTTAAAATCTCCGTGTAGGTGTTGGCTGATGGTTTGAGGACTGGTGTTACCGAGTGGCTCGAGCCTCTGGAAGCAAAATCTGCTGTTGAACTTGTACAGGAATTTCTGAACGGTATTTGTTTCCTAACTCATTTTTCTTTTTCTTAACCGAGAATTTATATTTGCTATACTTAAATACAAGTTGTCTCTGTGGCTTGATATTCTTTTTGGTTGGAATATGTATAAAATGATGAAGTCTGACATGGTTGAAGGGACAGCTTTTGTCGTGAAGTCATCTTAAAAGTGAGTAAGATTTGATTTGAAATTTCTGTGACACAGCCATATCTGACACTGGAGGAAAAGAGGGGTGAACCGGTAGCCTCTGCATCCCTGCTGTGCTCCTGGCAGGGGCAGGCTGGGGCTGTCGTGTCCCTCAGTTCCTCCCACACCTGATGTGATGGGAACCTCGAATTCCCTCTGCTGGAGATTCCAGTCATGGCCCAAGTCCCCAGTTTCACGTCTCTTGTCCTGTGTGCCACTTGAAAATGGGATTAGGATGCAAATAATTTGCAGAGCAGAACAGTAGAATCGAGAATTAACCAACTTCTGCCACTTTCTAGACTTGAAACAGCTGGATGGATTTGGTGATTCCACAAGAAAGGACACAGAGGTGAGTGATTGCTGTCACATAGAAATGAACCTTTGAAATTGGATTGTACTGTTATGTTTCATGTTGTACCATCTTGGATGGATCTCATATAGTCAGGGCTGCATTTTGGGGAGTTTTTGTAGTCTTTTTTTTTTTTTTTCTTTAAGATTATTTATTTGTGAGGCAGAGTTACAGACAGAGAGGTCTTCTATCGGCTGATTTACTCCCCAAATGGTCACAATGGCCAGAGTGGGGCTGATCTGAAGCTAGGAGCCAGGAGCTTCCTGCAGGTCTCCTATGTGGGTGCAGGGGCCCAAGCATTTGGGTCGTATTCCAGTGCTTTTCCTAGGCCATAGCAGAGAGCTGAATCAGAAGTGGAGCAGCCGGGACACGAACCCGCACCCATATGGGATGCCAGCGCCACAGGCATAGGCTTAACCCCCTACACTACAGCACTGGTCCCTTTTCTCGTCTTTAATGTCAGTGCTAGTGATTGCTTTCCTTAAGAGCTGGTAAGTATTTTTATAATGAGAATTACATGTAAATATTAATTAGTTGCTCAGTTGTGGAGATATATAAGTGAAATTGTTAGTAGTATACTATAAGATCTTATTTCACTATGCTGTAATATGGTATTATATTTATGTATTTATTTATTAAGCTGGTTATATTCTCATTTGACATAAAAAGAAATGAAGAAAAAGGTAATTTCTTAAAGATTTTCACCTATAAGAAAAGTTGAATATTTATTAAGCATTCCAGTTTTTTTTCCCCCCAGAAACCTTTTATTTAAGGAATACAAACTTCATGCATTCCATCAATACAACTTTGGGAACATAGTGATTATTCCCACCATACCTCCCCCACCCCCCCATCCCTCTTCCTCCTCCCTCTCCTATTCCCATTCTTATTTTTTTACTAAGATCTGTTTTCAATTAACTTTATACACATATGATTAACTCTATACTAAGCAGAGTTCCATAAACTGTATGGAAAAAAAAAACTATTCCTCAATAGTTTGAGACAAGGGCTGTTCAAAGTCATTGCATCTCGAAGTATTAATTTCACTTCTATAGATTACCTTTTAGGTGCTCTATTAATTATCACAGATCAGGAAGAACATATGGGATTGTCCTTTTGGGACTGGCTTGTTTCACTAAGTGTGATGTTTTCCGGTTTCATCCATTTTGTTGCAAATGACAGGATTTCATTTTTTCTGCTATGTAGTATTCCATGGTATGCATATCCCATAATTTCTGTATCCAGTGTTCAGTTGATGGGCATTTGGGTTGAGTCCATATCTTAGCTATTGTGAATTGAGCTGCAGTAAACAGGGGAACAGATAACTCTTCCATATGCTGATTTCATTTCCCTTGGGTGAATTCCCAGGAGTGTGATGGCTGGGTCATATGGAGGTCCTATATTCAGATTTCTGAGGTATCTCCATCCTGTCTTCCACAGTTGCTGTGCATTCCCACCATCAGTGGCTTAGGGCACCTTTTTCCCCACGTCCTTCCAGCATTTGTTGTGTGTTGATTTGGGGCATTCCAGTTCTGAAATGATTTGCAGGCTGCAGTCGTGCACTGTGTGGATGAGTTTGTCCTCATTAGCGAATGCAATTGTAGAAATGCATCTGTGTCCGCCTTTGTGTTCGTGAATCTGTGTTTTAAAGCCTTGCTACCCCAGCGTCCTCCTCCTGGGTTTGAGCTGAGTGTTTGCTGAGGCGTGTTTCCTCTCCAGAGCGTGAAGCCCGACGCTGCCGCGGTGGACAGGTCTGTGCTGATCACGGTGCGCGGGGACCTCGACTTCGCTGAGCAGCTGTGGTGCAAGATGAGCAGCAGTAGGTTTCCGGCGTGATTACACTCTTTCCTGTTTTATTTATTTATTTATTTTGAAAGGCAAAGTTACAGAGAGGCAGAGAGAGAGAGGTCTTCTATCTGCTGGTTCACTCCCCAGTTGGCAACAACGGCCAACCAGGAGCCGGGAGCTTCTTCCGGGTCTCCCACATGGGTGCAGGGGCCCAAGCACTTGGGCCATAGCAGGGAGCTGGATCGGAAGTGGAGCAGCTGGGACACAGACCAGTGCCCATGTGGGATGCCGGCACTACAGGCAGCAGCTTTACCTGCTGCGCCACCATGCTGGCCCTCTAAGTTTTTTTTGTTTGTTTTGTTTTGTCTGCGATCTGACCTGGATTTCTTTCTTTAACAATGTATTGTTTCAGGTGGGCGTTTAGTACAGTAGTTAAACCACCCCTGGGGATGCCCACGTTCCATATCAGTGCCTGGGGTTGAGTCCCAGCTCCTCTTCTGAGTCCAGCTTCCTGCTAATGTGCACTGTTGGAGACAGAAGGTGATGGACCAAGTACTTGAGTCCCTTCCACCCGTATGGAAGCCAGATTGAGTTTCCAGCTTCTGGCTTGGGCCTGGCCTAGTGCCAATTGTTGCATGTATTTGGGTGAATCAGCAAGTTGCAGATCTTTGTCTCTCTACCTTGAAATAAGTGAGTTTTTTAAAAAGATTTTATTTCTTATTTGAAAGTCAGAGTTACGGAGAGAGAAAGAGAGAGGGATCTTCCACCTGCTGGTTCACTCCTGAGATGGCCACAACATCCAGAACTGGCCCAGGCTTGAGCCTAGAGCTTCATCCAGCTCTCCCATGTGGATGACAGAGGCCCAAGCACTTGGACCATCTGCTGCTGCTTTTCCCAGGCCATTAGCAGGAAGCTGGATCAGAAGCAAAGCATCTGGGATGAACCCAGTGCCCACGTGGGATGCTGGTGTCACAGTGGTGGCTTTACCCACTATACCACAATGCTGGCCCCTAGTAAATAAAAATATTTTTAAAATGTATTAAACCTTTTTTTAACCATCTTTAATTCCTTTCTTCTCCATCCATAAAGTACAGGTTATTAATCATTTCATTTGTATATTAAAATGAATGATGCATTTAATATGAAAATAACATCAGACTGATGTGTTTTTCAAGGTGTGGTTTCGTATCAAGACTTGGTGAAGTGTTTCTCGCTGGTCATCCAGAGTCTGCAGCGTGGTGACATCCAGCCGTGGGTAGGTTGTGACTTGCTGTTTCCTCAGCAGCCCAGCACGATGGGTCAGGACACAGGCGTGGGAGCACATTGCTTGGGTTTGAATTCTAGCTCTGCAGACGTGGGCAGGTCCTTCACCAACCTGGTCACAAGGTCCTTGTCTGGAAGTGAGGGTGGGGACAGTAACTGCCTCCCAGTGTTGGTGCAGGGATAACCGTTCAGTTCATGTGCATCTCCTGCTGCCTGGCTCCTGGTTAAGTGCTCAGTGTGTGCACCTCTGATGTTGTCACCAACTGCTGCTGTAGATGAGTCCTCCTCTATACTCCTGAGAATACAAACTGGGACTCTCTTCCTAAAGAGCAGTTTTGATAACTAACGTATTGAGAGCCTCACAGTGTAGCATGAGGTTTTCAAAGCTTTTCACCTTCTGGTGGAAGGGTTCCAAGTGACTTTTTCCATTTGAATTACATATTTTTTCTTTTTTTTTTTTTTAATAAAGATTTATTTATTTACTTGAAAGACAGAGATAGAGAGGGAGTGACCTTCCATGCACTGATTATTCCCCAAATGGCCACAATGGCTGGGGCTGGGCCAAGCCAAAACCAGGAGCTAGGAGCTTCCTCCAAGTTTCTCATGTGGGTGCATGGGCCCAAGCACTTTTGCTGCTTTCTTAGGTGTATTAGCAACGAGCTAGATCAGAAGTGGAGTAGCCAGGATTCAAACTAGTGCCCATATGGGATGCCAACACTGCAGTTGGAGGCTTAATCTTCTATACCACGGTGCTAGCCCTGAACTTTTCTGCACATTACAATTTCCACAATGAATCTGTGCTTTTTAAAATTTTTCAAGATTTACTTATTGGGGCCATTGCTGTGGTGCAATGGCCTACAGTGCCGGCATCCCATATGGGTGCCGATTCAAGTCCCGGCTGCTCCACTTCCCATCCAGTTCTCTGCTGTGGCCTGGGAAAGCAGTGGAAGATGGCCCAAGTCCTTGGGCCCCTGCACCCATGTGGGAGATCCAGAAGAAGCTCCTAGCTTCAGATCAGCACAGCTCTGGCCATTGTGATCTTTTGGGGAGTGAACACAGTGGATGGATGACCTTTCTCTCTCTCTGGCTCTGCCTCTCTCTAACTCTGACTTTCAAATAACTAAAAAAATCTTTTTTTTTTTTTTTAAAGATTTACTTATTTATTAGAAAGGCAGACTTATGGGGAGAGAGCTTCCATCTGCTAGTTTACTCCTCAAATGACCACAATGGCCAGGCCTATGTTGGGCAAAGCCAGGAGCCAGGAGCTTCATCCAGGTCTCCTGTAGCAGGGGCCCAGACACTTGGGCTCTCTCCTGCTACTTTCCCAGACAGTCCAGCAGGGAGCTGGATTGGAAGGGGAACAGCCAGGACATGAACCAGCATCCATACGGGATGTTAGTGTCATAAGTAGCAGCTTACCCCACTGCACCACAGCATCAGCCCCTCGTACTGCTTTTATAATCAAGAAAAGACTAAGTAAAAAGTTAGAAACAAAGGGATTCCTCACTTACTAGGAGTTATTTTCATTAATCTGGCTGCCACTTGCTGAGCATAGGAGCTAAGCCATGTTGGGAGGTGTGGCCGGGCACACTCCAAGCAGAGGCGTCAGGCGTAGGGATCCTGGGCTTTTTCATTTGGGCCACCGAGGTTTTCCCTGAGTTTTGGTGTTTGTGGGTTTGTAGTGTAATCCTGCTCTGTACATTGATTGGAAATGAGGTGCCATTCATTCAAAAAAAGAAATTGCAAACAACAGTGATGCAAGTAGAGATATTGGAAAGGAATGGAAAAATGACAGATGTTTTATGTAGATTTAAAATGAATTGTTTAACCTTTAGAACAGTGTGAAATCTCTAGTTCACAGCACTTCTTAATTTGCAGTTAGTGTGCTGGACATTGCAGCCAGTGAGGAGTTCCTTGTGACAAAAGCAGGGACCACACAGGGAGTGTTTTGTGGAGCAGCAGTGTCTCACGACGGAGGACAGGAGAATTCCTAGCTGTGAAGCCTCTGAGGACAACTGTGACTTCTCTTTGGTGGAATTGTACCTAGGGGTGATAGGTTTAAGCTCTTCTTTGTAGTTTCAGACTTAACCCTAAAAAGGTGGGGGGAGCTAGGAACAGCATTTCAGAAACTGGCATGTTTATAGGTTGTGACTTTGGTTGCAACCATTTATAGTGTCGGGAGACTAAGAATGTAAACTTAACAATGTTTAACTCATGGAAGATGTAATTTACTTCTCTTTTGCCTGTTGGATTTATCTACGATTTATAAAATGTTCTCGATTTCTAGCTCCACAGTGGGAGTAACAGCTTACTGAGCAAGCTCATTCATCAGTCCTACCACGGCACCATGGACACAGTTTCTCTCACAGGGACTATTCCACTTCAGATACTTTTGGAAATTGGTTTGGACAAACTAAAGAAAGATTATATCAGTTTTTTCATAGGTAAGTCTTTCCCAGCTCAAAAGATAGAAATGCACGTCTCAGTTGTTGTCTGTGTAGATGTTCTCAGATTTCGTCCTTCTGCTGACCCCTGGTCATTTGTGAGCTGGCTTTGCCTGGCTCCTGTGAGATAAGCATTTCCTTCTGTGGCCCTAGTTTGTCCCTTCATCCAGGTATTCAGTTACATATCACTGTAGTTGTTGTTTGTGGGTTTGTTTTTAATTCAAACATTTGAGATTCTGCTAGTTTAGTGTCATAAATAAAAAACCCTTTTGTAAGATGTTTGAATACCCAACACTGGATTCTTTTCATTAGAAGCACAATATGATCAGTTTTAGAGTAAGTGCTGGCATTTTGTTATGGTGTCATGTGAGAAAATTGGGGCTTTTGAGAGTTCCTATTTACCTTGACCATCTCTTTGATTGATGAGCTATCAGGAGGTTTCCTTAGCTTCCTTAGCATGTAGTAGACAATTCCTAAACCTTATTTGTGCATCTGCATTTTTTTCTTCATAGGTCAAGAACTTGCATCTTTGAACCATTTGGTGAGTTCATTTCTCATTCTCAACTTGGTTTTTCTTTTTCTTTTTATTTATTTATTTATTTTTTTTTGACAGGCAGAGTAGACAGTGAGAGAGAGAGATAGAGAGAAAGGTCTTCCTTTGCCATTGGTTCACCCTCTAATGGCCACCGCGGCCGGCGCGCTGCGGCTGGCATGCTGCAGCCGGCACACCGCGCTGATCTGAAGGCAGGAGCCAGGTGCTTCCTCCTGGTCTCCCATGCAGGTGCAGGGCCCAAGCACTTGGGCCATCCTCCACTACACTCCCGGGCCACAGCAGAGAGCTGGCCTGGAAGAGATGCAACCGGGACAGAAGACTGGGACTAGAACCCGGTGTGCTGGCACCGCAGGTGGAGGATTAGCCTATTGAGCCGCGGCACCGGCCTTGGTTTTTCTTTTACCCATTCTGTGTACGGTTATTTAAAAGCTCTGGCCATGTGGCCAATTGGGGAGTGAACCATCGGAAGGAAGACCCCTCTCTCTCTGCCTCTCCTCTCTCTGTGTAACTCTTCCAAATAAATAAATCTTAAAAAAAAAAAAAAGTTACACAGAGAAGGAGAGGCAGAGAGAGGTCTTCCATCCAATGGTTCACTCCCCAATTGGTCACAACAGCCGGAGCTGCTGATCCGAAGCCAGGAGCCAGGAGCTTCTTCTGGGTCTCCCACGTGGGAGCCGGGACACAAGCACTTGGGCCATCTTCCACTGTTTCCCAGGCCATAGCAGAGAGCTGGATGGGAAGTGGAGCAGCCGAGACTAGAACCGGCGCCCATATGGGATGCTGGCACTGCAGGCAGTGGCTTAACCCACTGCACCACAGCACCAGCCCCAAGAACCTACTTTTTAACGCCCTGTTTTGCTTTTACCTTTTTCATTTCAGGAATACTTCATTTCTCCATCAGTAGATTTACAAGAGCAGGTTTATCGTGTTCAGAAGCTCCACCATATTCTAGAAATAGTAGTCAGTTGCATGCTTTTCATTAAACTTCAACATGAGCTTCTCTTTTCTCTGACACAGTAAGTATCTCTGTTGTTACTTACATAAAATGTATTCATTCTGCAAAACTGCAGGCAAAATCTGTACAGTTTCATTGCCAGTTAGGGTAGCACCTGTTCGCCTGTCCTCCCGGATGCACGGTTCTGGTCAGTGTCCTAGGAAGGCGAGGCTGCGACAGGAACCGACGTGACTTCTGGCTCTGAGCTTTCTGACTGCCTTGGGAAGGTCCTTTCCGTGAATCTTACTCCTCTGATAACCCCACGTGTGTGCTGTAAAGATGATGCTGTGAATGGGTATAGGGTATTTGACACTGTGTAGGTACCTGGTAAATATTAGTTTCCTCTCTTCCCTACGTCCCTATAAACCTGGGCCAGACTGCCATGGCCGCCGTCTCTGCTCCGGGGAGGGACTGGAGCCCTGATGCTGACCTGCCGGCAGCACTGCTCAGGGCGGCCGTGGGCCTGGGTGCCTGGTGCGTGTGTGTGAGGCCTCAGACCGTAAATAAGTGCACCCTTTGCCTTTCCTAAAATTAGGACCTGCCTCAGTGGCAAGAAAAATTTTTAAATAATTATTTTTTAATAGAACCTGGAAGAGGTGTTGTTTTTTTGTTTTTTTTTTTTGTTTTTTCTTTTTCTCATTAAAGATCAGCAGTGTAAATGAGTCAGCCCTTCACTAGACTCTGAAAAGTGGAGGCTGTGTCTCCTTCCCCTCCGTTTTCTCCTGAAAAAGCCTCTCCTGTTTGCTGTATATGAGAAATGTGGCCACCAGTGATGTTTTTTAAATGAAATTTCCTTTCAAAGAAAGAAATGACGGAAGCTTTTGTCAGCGGGGGTTGGTGTTGATGCTGTGGCTGAGATGATTCTTTGTGTTGCTGCTGCTGCTCGTGGTCGTTGGTAAACTTTGAGGGTCACTCCTGAGCGTCACATGACCTGACGATTTATCTCCATCCAGCTCTTTTTTCAAAAGGTCTTTTTGTTTGTTTGTTTTAGATCCTGCATAAAATACTATAAACAGAATCCTCTTGATGAGCAACACATTTTTCAGCTACCGGTCAGAGCAGCTGCCATAAAAAACTTATACCAAAGGTAAGCAAGTTCATTATTAAATTAACGCCTTAGCCCCTCCGTGACTGTAGGCAGTTTTGGTGTCCATGTCCCACGGAGACCTGGTGACCCTGAGCTGCTTCCCCTCCGAGATGCTGATTGTCTCAGTCCCCCCATCTGACCTCCTCCTGGCTCTGCGGCTGCTTTCTGTAGGCCGGGGAGCCTCTGGCCTCTCGTGCTGGCCTTTCTCTCCACCTGACAGCCCCTCCCAGAATGGAGAGTACAACCCCCGAGTTATAGTCTTACCTTCTGTCCCCTGACACGTCTGCTATTTCTCTGTTACTGCTTTTGAAAACATTGAATTGGTAAATTGGTATCAATGTTGTTTTTAATTTTAAAATTAAAACTTTTTTTTTTTTTTTTTTTGGAGAGGCAGAGAGATCCCACACTCTGATTCACGCCCCAGCTGCCTAGAGCAGCATTTGGCCAGGGACCAGGGCCAGGAGCTGGGAACTCAGTCCAGGCCTCCCTCTTGTGTGGTAGGGACCCCTGCTCCCCAGGGTGTGCACCAGCAGGAAGCTCAGGTCAGGAGCAGTGCCAGGGATCTAACCCAGGCACCGGGATATGAGATGCAGCATCTCAACCCAGCCATCTGAACGCTCGGCCACGCACAACCCCTGCCCCCACTGCACTTCTCGAGGGTGGGGACCTGTTTGTCTCTCCTTCATCAGTGTTTAGCAAATGAGGACATCACTAAATGGCTATAGAAAGAAAAACTTTTTTTTTTCTTTCCTTAGTGAGAAACCACAGAAATGGAGAGTGGAAATAAACAGCGGTCACAAGAAGGTGAAAACTGTTTGGCAGCTCAGTGACAGCTCACCTGTAGACCACCTGAGTTTTCACAGACCTGGTAAAGATGGTTTCTAAGCTGTTCAGATAAGTCATTCCAGTAGAAAATACAACTTAGGGAGGTCATTGTCTTATCTTCAGGAACTAGTTTTAAATAATTCTCCTGAGCTCTAGGTATAAAACATATTTAGTCTTAAAAAATGACACTTTTTATGTGTATAAGCGTAATGCCCAGAGAATCCACTGAGTGAAAATGACACTTTTTCTCATTATCCGGGATAGAGAAACGCTTATTAGAAAAGAGAGCAAACAGGAGGCACAGAGGAGTAAAGACAGGTGACGAGGTGGAAATGCAGGCCACACCTCACAGCGTTGTGCACCGCCCCGCCCATCATGGTTCTGTGTCCACCCTCGTGTCCCCTGTGGCTGAGTGAGGGCTGTTCCCAGGGCTCTGTCAGTATGGTCCACGTTCATCAGTGAATGTCTCGCAGTCCTTTGTGAAAAGAGCTAAGCCGCCAAGTCTTCCCTCTTCCTCAGACACCCATGTCTGAGGTTCTGTTGTCTCTTGTTCATGAAACATTAAAATTTTGCAAGGATTACTTGACAACCAGTCTGATTTCAGACAGAACCTAAGATTTCAAAAGCCTGGAGTCTGGGAATACAGATGTTCTGTGTTACTGATGGATACTTCGCAGAATTATTCCCAGAGCTGTGCGTCTTGATTCGGGCGTAGTGGGAACTTGTGTCAGACGGGGGCTCTGCTCAGACAGCGAAACTGCAGAAGTCCTAAAGGAGCCAGCTGAAGTCACAGCACGTCTTCTCCAAGTGCCACACGAAACCTGGGCGCCATGGGAGTTGAAAACCAACTGAACACAAAGAGATTTCTGCATGGCAAAAAACGCCGCAGGCTAAACAGGCAGATGTGAGCCAGGAGAGATGCATCTCGTGCTCAGAACAGGGCGTCCTTTCCTGGTATATAAAGAACTTGCAAATCCGCAAGAAAAATGTCAATAACTTGGTAAAAAAGGACAGATGATATGAGCAGTTTCCCAAAAAGGAAATTCCAGTGTCGTAATACAAGGTGCTCGACCTCACCCATAGTAATGATGAGAAAGGTAAATGTTCCCAGTGATGCTGGCTCCCTAAGCACACGGAACACCTCTCAGTCTGTCACAGGTTGCTTCAAGAGTGGAAATTAGTTTGAATGTTGACATTATTTCAATTTGCTAATTCATTGGCCCAATAACTCCTTCCACGAATATATGAAATTCTTACAAAATCAACTATTTGTATGCTTGGAAATGTACTCAAATTCCATTTTGACTTGAACTTAGTAACCTTTTCTACCCATTACATATTCTTGATGTGTTTGTCTAGAAATTATTCAGTGACTTTTGGCCTAAAGACCCCACTCTTGAAGGAGAACTTCATTTGTCACGAGCCTCATTTGTCACAAAGCCTCAGGTACGAAGGCTAAAGCCCAGTAATGATTTGTGTTATCACAGGTCGCCTGCATTTAAGGAATTAGACCGAATACTGAGGTTGAAGGCCAGCTTTTCCTGGTATCTCATGGTGTGAAACAGCTGGGAGCTCGAGAGAGCAGTGCCCGTTCAGGCACCATGGGAGAGGGAATAAGGGGGGAGAAAAACAGTGTCCAGGGGAGTGCTGCCCACCCAGTGGGTGCTCAGTAAATGACTGTTGATAATGGAGAAAAGATGGAAACCGAAACGCTGAGCCACAAGGAAGTGGGTGTAATCCCATCTCACAACTGGGCCATTTATTTTTGAAATAGAACAGTCATGAGACACAAATGATACGTATGTGAGGCTGTAAGACTACAAATCCCAAGTAGGGTGTCTTTCCTAAACTACAAATTGTTTGTTAAAACTGTTTACCCCTATTTGGCACAAAAAATAAAGCACTAGGCTCCCACGAGACACATATAACTTAAAGAAAATGCCCTAAACGCTGTTATTTAACCGCGCTGTCAGTGTGTCAGGATGATGTCATATGTACATGCAGTGCGATGTGCTGCCCGATTCTGGTCTGAGATTGTTACAGAAGCCATGCGCCATGCCACCGCCGCTCGGTCACTGAGCTGTGGGCAGGGCGGCAGGGTGGCAGGGCATGGCGGCTCTCATCGCGCCTTCTTTCTGTTTACAGACTTTTCTGAGCTGACACTCAACGGCAGCCTGGAGGAGAGGGCGCCCTTCGCCAGCATGGCCACCTGCAGCCAGGTGCACTTCAAGTAGCGCGCGCTCAGGGCCCTCGCCAAGGTATCCTGCGCACTTTCTGTCTCCAGCTGCACTGTGATGCGTTACCTTCCGTGGGCATTGTAGATGAGGACAGGAGGCTTACCCAGTGTTACCAAGCAGGAGAAGTCATGAACTGGCTAACTTGTTTTGGCCAATTAAATCCTAAAAGCAGGGAAATACAAATTTTAAAAATGTTTATTTAGGAGGCAGAGAAAAAGGCAGGAGGAGTGGAGAGGGTCACTCCCGCAAGTGCCCAGGTCTCCCACGTGGGTGGCAGGAACCCAGCCATCTGAGGCATTGCCGCTGCCTCCCAGGGTGTGCGTTATCGGGAGGTGGAGGCAGGAGCTGGACTTCTCAGCACTGGGTTGTGTCCCAGCTGCTTCCCTTTCCATCCAGCCCCTTGCTGAGGTGCCTGGGAAAAAGATGGCCCAGGTGCTTGACCATGGGGATCAAGCTCAGGTGCTGCAGTATGGGTGCCTCCATCCCAGCCAGTGCGGTTTCAGCTGCGAGGCCAACCACCTGTCCCCGACCCCCAGTTTTTTTGAGTCATAATGTCTCTGCATTTTACACCTGTATAAGCATTGTTCAAAAACTTCACAGGAAATACACATTAAGAAAACTATTTGTAAGTTTTTAAAAATTGCACCAAAATAAACATCTTGTAATTTCATTTTTGAAATGCCCTCCTATTTGTGGTAGAAGGAGCAGACTCCTGACATACCAACTTAACATTGAAGGCAAAATTGTTAAAAAGTTTTACCCCAGCCCAGAGAAACTGTGATTTGTGGTATTATTTTCATGGATTCTTTCAGTTAACACTATTTTCTACTGTGTTCCAGAAACAAAGATAAATAGAAAAAAATTAAAATTATTTGTCATTTTGTCCACAAATAAATGGAGATCAGTTAATTCCACCTTTTGGCAGAGCTGAAGTGTTCTCTAGGCCAGCGACTCCCCTGTCAGCGTGAAGAGTGAACCGCATTTGGCCTCCAGAGCATCTCAGACAGGAGCCCGTGCGCACGTTGTCCTGGTGAGCGTCGGCCCTGTGCATCTGCATCGGACAGCGCTGGGCTGGCGGACTGCTACAGTGACATGTTGGATGCATTCGAGATGTTTTAAAAAATCAGCCGACCAAATGGTTTGTATGCAGCGGTCCCGCTTTTGTAAAATGAAAACGCGCGCCGAGTAGCAAAGTAGTCATGCCGACTTTGGGAGAGCTGACATTAACAAGTGGTTTTTATTTGACTTATGCTTCAGTTTTCTCATGTGTAGGTCCCAGCACAAAAGTTAGGGGGTGGGGGTAATTACCGACAAGCCGGGAGGCAGCGAGCCGCGGGGGTCCGTGGCCCTGCGGCCCCTCTCAGCTCCGCCTGCTCAGCAGCAGCAGCAGCAGCACGGCCGCGATGAGCACGCAGAGCGCGCACACCGTGGGCACCACGATCTCCGTCACCAGCTGCATGTGGCTCAGCAAGGGCTCTGCAACGCGACAGCCAGCCGCACCGTCAGCCCCAGCGCAGAGCTCCGGCCAGTCGGCTTAGCTGTGAGGCAGAGGCCTGGGGGAGGGCAGCACCCTGTCGTCTAGTTACTCTCTCTCATGTGCACTGAAGGAGTGAAAGCTTTGTAAAACCTTTCAGAAGAGACGGGCTGAGTGGCATCGTGTGAGCCCCGCCCATCCCCCCGTGCATTAATCTCAGGATCCACGGCAGGCCTCATGGCTCTCTCAGCTCTGCTGGAGAGGTGGGCGAAGGAAAACTCCCGAGAGGCCCAGAGGCCGCCATGTGTCCTGAGAGGGGGGCGAGTGTCGGTGTTGACAGTTTGATAATTTTTTGCGAGCCAAGTGACCAGCATATTGTGTGTGCAGAGTGGGGTGACGAGGCAGAGCCGCCTGGCTGTTCAGGTGTGTGGGGTGGTGCGCACTGGCTGGTAGAGCTCACGGGCGGGAGGACTGGGTCGAGCGCATTCCCCGTGCGACAGCACAGCGAAGACGAGCTTGTTAGCCAGGAGGTGTCCTTCTGGCTGCCCCGTGTCTCTCCCTTTTACATCCCATGGCATGAGAAATGATGCCTTCTGGAAGGCGAGGCTCCTTGTTTTTTGTTCATTGTTGTATCTCCATGGCTTAAATACCCCCTTCCCTAATTGTGAGTGCTTAATAAAATTACTTGCTCAATGAGCAAATCTAAATTCTGGAGTGTTTCATTGCATTTGGTGTAAGGGCTGACTTCCCTCCTTCCACTAGAACAAGAGCCAGGGTGGATAAGCACTTCTCTCCTGGTAGGTTTTCATATTTAAAATGCTTATGGAACATGAATCTGAATCACTTCAGAGTGAAGAAACATTGAGCTGTCAGTGGTTTGGAAGGTTCACTTCAGATGGCTGTCGCTGATGTGTTCGGAACGTCACGCCGAGTGTGACGACTCCCTGCCCGAGGACAGACGCGAACGCACTCACCTGCGGCGAGCATCTGGTTGTCGATGGAGCACATGTCCAGGGCTTCGCGGTGCCAGCGGTCCACCTAATGGAAACCCCGCACACTAGTTTATCTGAAATTCCTTTTGGAGTAAGTGTGGGGTACAGGTACACACTTTACCTATCTGCCTGTGCTTTAAGTGTTAATATGCACCCCCATGTGCATGGTAGCGGGGGAGTCTGAGCAGAGGAATATCCCTCCGGTCCAGGGCTGTGTGCGTGCCCGACAGCTTCCAGTTGCTGCCTCTGTGGTGGGCTCACCTTAACATTTTGGTGAACAAGTTTATTTTCAAAATCTTCAATAATTACTTTTGGGGATGGCACCGTGGCACAGTGGGTTAAAGCAATGGCCTGCAGTGCCAGCATCCCATGTGGGCACTGGTTCAAATCCCAGCTGCTGCACTTCCAATCTAGCTCCCTGCTGATGCACCTGGGAAAGCAGCAGAGACTGGCCCAAGTGCTTGGATCCTTGCACCCTTGTGGGAGACCCGGATGAGGCTGCTGGCTTCAGCCTGGCCCTGCCCTAGCCATTGCAGCCATTTGGGGAGTGAACCAGCAGATGGAAGAAACCCTTCTTTCTCTAACTGCTTTTCAAATAAATACTTTCTAAAATACTCATATGAAAGCACTCTATAGTTTATATTCCCTGCCAATAGGTGTGGCAACAGAGCTGAGAAGTTTTTATGTTACTGAAAACAGGTTTAAAGGATTAGTAAGCTTGATTATTTTAACTTCATTGTGGAGCAGTGCATCTGTAGGGCTCCACTGGTGGGTAAAGAAAATGCCATGGTCATTACACAGTCACTTTACTTAGCCTTTTATACATATGCTGAAGAGTGACCAGCAGCTGTTTGTCAAAAGACACAACATTGTGACATAGCAGGTGTATGCGACGCCAGCTTCCCATCTGGGTGCACCAGTTCATGTCCCGCCTACTCCACTTGTGATCCAACTCCCTGCTAATGCACCTGGGAAAGCAGTGGAAGATGACTTCCACCCATGGGTCCCTGCTAGCCATGTGGGAGACTCAGATGAAGCGCCTGGCTTTGGCCTGGCTGAGCCCTGGCCAAAGCAGCCATCTGGGGCGTGAACCAGTGAATGGAAGATCTCCGTCTCCCCGTCTAACTCTGACTTTCAAATAAACAAATATTAAAAGGGGTGGGCGGGCAGCACCAGCATCCCATATGGGCTCTCGTTCAAGCCCTGGCTGCTCCACTTCTGATCCAGCTCTCTGCTGTGGCCCGGGAGGGCAGTGGAGGATGGCCCAAGTGCTTGAGCCTCTGCACCTGCGTGGAAAACCAAGAAGAAGCTCCTGGCTTTGGCTTGGCCCGGCCCTGGCCATTGCTACCCTTTGGAAAGTGAACCAGAGGATGGAAGGTCTCTGTCTCTAATTCTGCCCTTCAGATAGATGAAAAACAGAGACAACGTTGAGAGTACCGGTCAATTGTCTTGATTTTGCCCTGTCATAACCTAAAGCAGGCGGGGCCCCGGTGTAAGTTCTAGTCACACCCTTAGTGTGTTAAGGGTGGCATTTTAAGGTGCGTTTTCTCCACGCTAAATAAATGAGCAAACAGGGAAGTCGGGAGAGACAGGGCTGTGCTGTACCCCCTGCCTCTCAGAGACGGCTTCGCCCCGCTGTGCACCCCTGCTGCTGTCAAATCCAGGACACAGGACTTGGCGAAGTAGCCTCACCTCTCTCGGACTGGGAAACCCATTGGCAGCGATGATTTTCTTGTAATAGCGCATGGAGGCCTTTGGGTGGCGAGGCCTATTTCTGTCAATGAATCTGACGTAGTATAATCCGTATCGGTCCGAGTAGCCTTTGTCCCACTCAAACTTATCCAACAGAGACCAGGCGGTGTACCCTCTGATGTTAGCACCGTCCTTCACAGCTGCAAAGACATTGTATTCTGTTTCAGTCCTTTACAAAGCACGATATTAAAACGCCTAAAGAAACGTCAAAGCAAATTTTGGTTGATCACGAGTGTGATCGGATCGCACGGGGTCAGCAGACACAGTGGAGCAGACAGCCTTAGTCCCCTCTCACCTTTCAGCATCTCATTTATGTATCCCTTGAGGTAGTGGATTCTCCACTCATCACACAGCTGACTGCAGGGCACTCTTTGGGGCGCCCCGTTCTCCGTCACATAGATGGGAGGATCGCCATACTGCGTCTGAAAGGGAGGCACACAGCGGGCTCTCAACTGCTGACTTCCGGTGGGCACTGGCACAGAGGCTCCTACAGGGACACACGCGCAAGCCGCCACCGCGTCCAGCTGTGTTCACTTGGTACCTGCCAGTTCAGACGTTCCCTTAGGGACGAGTGGACCCGAGGCAAAACCATACAAAGAACCCATTTCTCAGTGGTTCCCGCATGTCCCATCTCGGGTGAGCAGGGCAGCAGAACAGCTAACGGGTAGAATTTCAGCTACGGGGCCAGCACTGTGGTGCCAGTGTCCCGCGTGGGAGCACCAGCTGGGGTCCCAGCCGTTCTGCTTCCGATCCGGCTCCCTGCACACCCCACTAATGGGCCTGGGAAAGCAAGGCTTGGGTCCTTGCACTTGGGAGACCCGGATGGAGTTCCCGGCTCCTGATTTTGGCCTGGCCCAGCCCCGGCAATTGTAGCCAATTGGAGAGTAGACCAGCAGATTGGAAATCTACCCCTCTGCCTTTAAAACAGATAGATTTTTAAGTAGCTAAGGACATACACAGAAGCATTTCATTGGATGGCACATTGGGGAGCCTGAGAGTTGGAACTGTTTGTTCTCTCTGATCAGCTTTCAGATAGGCACCTGAGCTTAAGCCTGGAGAGCGGCAGCTCCGGCCTCGATGTCCACGACCCGGCTCCACGGAATAATCACCTGAGCAAAGTGGAGGAGCCTCCTGAACCCCCAGGGCACCGAGCGGAGCCACTGGGGCCCCAGATCCGGCCAGTCCGGGTCGGCCAGCTCCACGACGTCCCGGTCATTCTGGTAGCTGGGTCCCTGGCGGGGGGCGTAGCTCCTGTCCGTGACGTACCGAGTTGTGAAGTGACCCAAGCCCAGGAAATCCGAGGTGCCCTTAACGTAGCTCTTCTCCTGCAGTGAGAACGCCGGCAGCCTGGATGCCTCGAGGCCCTGCTCCACGCTCTTCCTTCCTGTAGAGAGGGACAGAGACGTTATCAGGGCCGACTGTCACACGTGGTGACGCTGGCGTGTCGACACGAGGGCGGGCGCTCAGCAAACACAACCTCAGGCTGGCAGAATTTTGGATGCTATTAAAAAAATGCCAGAGTCCGTATTGCTTAAAAGTAGTATGTTCACAGCACATGGCGTGTGGACAACCAAGCTGGCAGGGGGCCGGGAGGCCGGGGTGGGAAGGGGGTGACAGGAGCACGTCCACACTGTGTTGCTCAGACCTCTGTCCGAGGCAGGCTCCTCTCAGAACTGCAGAAGCGTATGTGTTTTCACCGACCAATTCCTGATTTTTCTTTTGTTAATTTGAGGAGCAGCAGGAGAGAAAGCTCCCATCTGCTGGTTTACTCCCTAAATACCTGCAGTGGCCAGGGCCGCGGCCGGGAGCCAAGAACTCCATCCAGGTCTCCCATGTGGGTGGCAGGGACCCAAGGGCTTGAGCCATCACCCACGGCCTGCCAGGGTGGAACCCAGAGCCTGATCTCAAAGCCAACTCTAACACGGGCATCGGCATCGTCACCAGCGCCCTAAGCACCACATGAACGCTGCCTCCCGGATCCACTTATCCCTGCTTACTGACACCGTGGAAGTGTGGGGATGATGTCTGTTGAGTAGCCAAGGGGTTTTTTAAGAAAAAGATTTATCTATTTGAAAGGTAGAGTGACAGAGAGAAAAGCTAAGACAGAGAGAGGGAGAGAGACAGAGAAAATCTTCCATCCTCTGGTTTACTTCCCAAATGGCCACAATGGCTGGAGCTGGGAAGCCAGGAGCTTCTTCCAGGTCTCCCACGTGGGTGCAGGGGCCCAAGGGCTTGAGCCTCCTGCTGCTGCTTCCCCAGGTGCATAGCAGAGCGCTGGATCAGAAGTGGAGTAGCCGTGTGTCAAACCAGCGCTTATATGGGATGCTGGCGTCACAGGCGGCAGCTTTACCCATCACACCACAGTGCCAGCCCCAGATTTTTTTTTTTTTAACGATTTTATTGGGGCCGGCACTGTGGTACTAGGTTAAGCCTCTGCCTGCAGCACCGGCATCCTATATGGGTGCTGGTTCAAGTCCCAGCTGCTCTTGCGATCCAGCTCTCTGCTGATGGCTGCTCCACATCTGATCCAGCTGTCAGTTAGCCCACCGATCAAAGCACATCGCCACGGTTGAAGAATTCGGGCCCTTCCACCCATGTGGGAGACCCAGAAGATGCTCCTGGCTCCTGGCTTTGGATCAGCCCAGCTCTGGCCGTTGCGGCTGTTTGAGGAGTAAACCAGAGGATGGAAGATCTTTCTGTCTCTTCCTCTATAAGTCTGTAAGTTTACCTCTCAAATAAATATTTACCCCAAAAAAAGTTTATGTATTTGAAAGGCAGAATGACAGGGAGCAACAGAGAAGATCTGCCATCCACTGGTTCACTCCCCAAATGGCTGCAATGGCAGAGGCTGGGCCAGACTACAGGCAGAATCCAGGAACGTCCCCCTGGTCTCCCACGTGGGTGGTAGGGACCCAAGCACGTGGGCCATCTTCCACTGCTTTCCCAGGTGCTTTAGCGGGAAG